GCAGAACTTGGTTTCTTTAGCCCAGCTCCTCTGGCTCCCCAAAATGCCTTCCAAAATTATGTTTTATCTCTAGACTCTTTAATAATTTACAGCAGCCCCTTCTCCAGATTCCTGAACCCTTCTAGATGCTGGACAAGACCCTCAGCATTAAGTGTGTGGTGGTACTTTGTTACTGCAGCCTAGCAAATTAATACAGTCTGTTGAAAGCATTTGGCAAGGTTGACTCTTGAAACACTATCTCATCCCTTTGAGCCTGTGTCACTTCTATTTCTGGGGATTTCCCCACCTATCTTAACAGTTCTTCTCCATGTCTTTCTCTAGCTTGTCTTAAATGTTGATGTTCTTTAGACTTTGGCCTAGGTGTTTTCTCACTTCACATCCTCTCCTGAGTGGTCTTTACCTGCTTCCGTGGGTTGAATTACTGTTTATGCAGTGGTGTGCTAGGAAATGTTGAATAATGGGCCTTCTGGGAGGAGGGGAGACTAATGTAAGTTTTCTTCCAATTTCTGTTATAAGTAGCCTCACCATGACTAATCTCAAACTGCCAACAGTTTAACAACTGGTTCAAAACTTATCAATTGGCTCTCACCAGCTGGTCTGAGCCAATACAAGCCAGCTCCAGCACACCTTTGCTTTTGTGTCAGACATAAGCAGCTTATTTTCAGACATAAGGTAATATAAAAATACCTGCAGACTCTTCTTTCCCTTAGCAACTGCTCCGGAAATGAATACGGCAGCTGCTTTATGTGTCCTTTTGTTATTTCCATGCCACGGTGGCTGTTGTGGATTTTCCCATATATGATGGAAACACCTTTTTATGACATGTTTAGCATCTGTTTTCGATCTTTCTGTTTTTGTTGTTGTTAGAGGGTATCAATATTGTATTCTCAAAACAAGAAAATGTTCCATTGCGAAGGAGACAAACAAAAAGGCCCTGAATACTGATACTTTGAAGCATCTGACTTCCTTTACTTGGCAGGAGCCAGAGCATTGGGTTTTCATTTTGTCCAGAAAGCAGTCTTTGTCTGGCCCCACTTGCCTTTTTGGCAGGCTGGACTCAATAGTTCATTCACTTAACCAGGACTTACTGAACACCAGCTGTGTGCCAGCTACTTGTCTAGATGCTTCTCTGGGCACAGTGAAGATGCCAAGGAGCCACACAGGTAAGGCCCAGGCTTTCACAGGGCTTACGTCACGGGTGGGGACTGGGACAGATAGGAAACCAAGGAAGCAACTAAGGATGAAGGTAGTAAAGGCAGGGTAATGTGACTGAGAGGACCCAAGATGGTAGAGTTACTACCACTGCGAACTAGGCTCTGGTACTCATACATCTGACCCCAGCCATGCACAGATGCACATCTAGTGATGTCCCAGCACCCTCTATCTGTTGCTAGTCTCCCTGCCTGCCCTCCCCCCACCACCACTTCCCAGAAAGCCCCAGTCTCTCCCAGCTTACAAATACCAGCCACACAGATTTAAATGAGCTTCTTCTATCATCAAACACAATCAAAATGTCAAGGACTAGAATCAGTGTCCTGCTAAAGGCAGTGGAGTGACTCTGAGGAAGGTCCTTTATCCGTTTTAGGGCCATGTCTCCGCACCTGTCAGCTGGGGTTACTAGTCACTGACTCTTAGACTGAGCACTCTCCACCCTATACCTCACCTGTGTGTCTTCTGAACTCCAGGCACACATGGCCAAGGGCCTGATGGGAATATGTTTTAGCCTGCTGAAAGGGTAAGCGTTCCATTGGCATCTCAAATTCTACAAAACTGAGTCCCTCTCCCTCCACCCCCAATGCCAATCATCACCTTTACTTCTCAGCAAATATTACCTTCTTTCATGATGCTTCCAGGGATAATTCTTGATTTTTCTCCAACATTCAAATCATACCACATCTAATATTTTTACCTTCATAAATATCTTAAATTTATTCATTTCTCTCTATCCCTATTGCTATTATCTTACCCCCAGCCCATTACTTTCTATTTACATTAATATGACTACAGTCTTGGTCCTTCTGTTCAGTTATTTATATTGTAGCCTGAGATTCTTTTTCTAAAATAAAAGTCTGGTGAGGTTACTTCATAGCTCCCCATTGCTCCCATATAAAGTTGGAACTTTTAGACATGGTGGCTTACAGGCCTTCCTGGTTATGGTGCTACTTGCCTCACCAGTTATCCTCTCTCAGCAACTCCTTGCCCCAATTCTAGGCTCTGGGCACACCGGTTAGCTCTTCCGTGGTGCCATATGTACTTCTACCTGTGGTTTTTGCACAGACTTCCCCCTACACCTAAAACACTTCCTTCAGTCCTGCTTCACTGCCTTTGATTCGGATAAGATTTATTATTTTTGAATGTCTAGCAATGAAGTCATTTCCCTTGGAAAACCTCTAACCACTCTTTATCCCCCAGCCCAAAGTTTGGCTTAGAATCCCTTTGTATATTTTTGTAGCTCTGCTCTGGAATTGCTTGTTGACTTGTTCATCTATATCACTAGACTATACATTACATGAGAACAGCAGCTTTTTCTGCCTTGTTTGCCATTGTGTCCCCAATAACTAGCATATGCTTGGCACTGAGTGGGCCGGCAATGAGTATATATTGAATAAATTAATGGAGAGTGATAGCTCCTTTAAGTAAACCTTGTTTTTTTTTTTAATCTATTCTTAATAAAACATTCACACACACACACACACACACACACACACACACACACCGTATAAATTAAACTATCATGTGCTTATTATGGAAAACTGGTAAAATACAGAAAAGCAATAGAAAAGAGTCTATCATCCATCTTATTATATAATACTAATCACTCTAATCTCCTTCTATATCTATTATTTTCATTGTTGAAATCTCACAATGTCTACAGTAGTTTTGTCTTAATGTGATAAAACTTACCAGTTTTGTCTTAATGTGGTAAAACTTACATAAAATTTACCATTTTAAAGTACTGACATTCAGTACTGTCACATGGTTGTGCAGCCATCATCACCACCCATCTTAGAATGTTCATCTTCCCAAACTGAAATTCTGTGCCCATTACACAATAATGCTCTGGTCCTCTCCCTGCAGGAAGTGGAACTGGCTGTCTTCTGAATCCTCACCTAGTGCAAGTGAGCATGTCTGCACATTTTCTAGTGGTTTTGAGGATCCTGTGGCCGATGCCGTCCTTCCTGCCATTCTAGTGTTGTCGGGTGTTTGTCACAGTGAATCCAGTTTAATGACATTTCTGAAGCTTCACTTTGTACTGCATTTTCCCATGCTGGGACCCACAAAAATATTTTAAGTTCTATTAAGATGCAAAGAAGCTGAAACCGGTTTGGCTCAGTGGATAGAGTGTCAGCCTGCAGACAGGTTCGATTCCGGTCAAGGGCATGTAGCTTAGTTGCGGGCACATCCCCAGTAGGGTGTGTGCAAGAGGCAGCTGATGGATGATTCTTTCTCATCGATGTTTCTAACTCTCTATCCCTCTTTCTTCCTCTCTCTGAAAAATCAATAAAATATATATATATTTTTTAAAAAGATGCAAAGAAAATGAACTTTTAGGTCAAAGAAAATGTTTTACTCTATAATATTAGCATATTTGTCTTTAAGTAAGTAAATAGCATCATGAAAGTGTTTTGTTTTGTTTTTATGGAGGAAGAGGCTCAGACAGGAAAAAGTGCTTATATAATACAGTAAAAAGTTCTCAAGTTACAAAAAAAAAATGGTGAGGAGGAATCACTGAAGTTCTTTAATACAGGAGACTGATCCTTTGGTCAATTTCCACATCATAGTTTTGCTAACCTGAGCATAAGTAAATAAATTTTTCAAAAATTTTACATAACATTATGTATAATTAAGCAGGTGCACATCTTAAAATTTTAAATTTTAGGTTAGGTTTTAATTCCTAGATGTTAGAAATATTGACAATTAGTTTTCCTGGGATGATTTTTCAAGTTGAGATAAATCCAGATGTAAACTAAAATCAGGCCAATACCGAAACCGGTTTGGCTCAGTGGATAGAGCGTCAGTCTGCGGACTGAAAGGTCCCAGGTTCTATTCCGGTCAAGGGCATGTACATTGGTTGCGGACACATCTCCAGTGGGGAGTGTGCAGGAGGCAACTGGTCGATGTTTCTCTCTCATCGACGTTTCTAGCTCTCTATCCCTGTCCTTTCCTCTCTATGGAAAATCAATAAAATATATTAAAATAAAAAATAAATAAAATAAATAAAAATAAATTAAATCAGGCCAATCCAAGAATGACACAGCATTGATTTTATGTGTTTGAAGAGCATTCCAGAAAGCAGTGTGGTGAGGAACAGTTAGTCGACTTAAATTTAAAAGGATGGTTTTCTTAGGGAAAGGGTGGTGAGGGAGAGGAGGAGGAATCCTATGTCATTTATGAACTTCTGTGGGAACATAAATTTTTGAAGACAATCTACTTTTTTAAAGAAACACAAAGTCATCTTTCCTGTACTTTCCAGCCTCTTACCTATTTCCACCAACAATCATAACAGGTTATGATGCCGAAACCAGTTTGGCTCAGTGGATAGAGCATCAGCCTGGGGATTGAAAGATCCCAGGTTCAATTCCAGTCAAGGGCATGTACCTTGATTGTGGGCACATCCCCAGTGTACAGGAGGCAGCTGATCAATGATTCTTTCACATCGATGTTTCTAACTCTCTATCCATCTCTCTTCCTCTCTGTAAAAAATCAATAAAATATATTTTTATATATATATAAAGGTTTTGAGTTTTTTCAACAGATTGAACACTATCCTCCTTTGCCAGAGTTAGAGCTCCACACTGCCTCCAGGTGCCTAGAAGAGCAACCTTGCCACTAGAAAGATTCAGAATGAGATGACTCCCCCGTATACAACATGACTGCTCCCTCCACAGCCTGTCCAGCTAGACATGAAGAAATAGGTCTACCAAGCCAGAGAGAATAAACATGTTTGATCAGATTATTCTGGAGGCGAAAAATTAATTTCTTGCTTGTCTTCCTAACAGTTCTCCAAAGCTTCGGACGTTGGCCAGAGGTTTGTCTCCTGCATACCTGAGATTTGGTGGCACCAAGACAGACTTTCTCATTTTCGATCCCAAGAAGGAGCCAAGCTTTGAAGAGAGAAGTTACTGGCAATCCCAACTCAACCACGGTAAAACTGTTTAAAGATTAACCATTTATTTTCGTTAAGTGGCTAGTCAGGGGCATTCAGTCAGATTCAGCTGACTGAGGAGGCACCTACACAAAAGAAGGAAGCACTGGGCAGGTTTCCACTTCCTGGTGTTTTCATGAATGTGAGACCTCGCCAAACAAAGGTGTGCTGGGCATACCCGGGAGTTAACTGTGTGGAAATAGAACAGTGACAGGACAGAGCTGCTTGGAGAGGGGGTGTAGGTAGAAATGCCTCAGACTGACGAGAGTAGTTCCAGCTGAAGATACAGCAGTGGGTGGAGACCATTTTATTCTAGGAATATATGGTGTCCAAAAAAAATGTATACTCACTTTGAGTGATTATAAAGTCAGTGTCTATTAACATGTTTATGAACATCTAGTGCATTTTCAAAATTTAAAAGAATCTATAGACATGAATAATTTTTCCGTTAATGCCTGCTTCCAAACTGGTGGCCCTTCTAGTCCTGGTGCTGCTGATAATGGAAAGCAATGGAATTGCAAACATAAAGAATCATTTTGTTTGGCCATGGCCGGTGTTTCTCGGTGGTTAGAGCATTGGCCTGAGCACCAAAGGATAGTGGGTTTGATTCCTGGTCCAGGGTACATGTGTGGGTTGAGGGTTCGCTCCCCATTCCCTGCCTGGGGCATGTGCAGGAGGCAACCAGTTGATGTCTCTCTCACATTGATGTGGGTTTTTTTTTTTTCTCTCTCTGTCCCTTCTTCCCTTCCACTCTCTCTGGAAAACACTGGAAAAAATATTCTCTGGTGAGGATTAACAACAACAACAAAAAAAATCATCATTTTGTTCAATATTTGTGTGCTCTCAACTCATTGACTGTTGCCAGTTTTGTACTGTAAACTTTATATTTTATGTGTCCCCATTAAAAAAAAAAAATAGTCTAGTGGCACTGTAGGATAAATTTTCTTTGTTAAAAGCTTAGCCTGGCTTCACCCATTATTTCAAGTCAGTTAAACCTGAAAAGGAGTGAAAATGGAGTTATCAGCTGTTAAAGTGTGTATACATTTTTGGGGGATACCCTATAGAATGTGGATGAAAGACATAGGAAGAGAATGTGAGATGTACTCTGCTTCTAAGGGTAGATTTTAAGACTTAGTGGGCAGTGGTTCTCCCACGTTGTTGACTATACACCTGGAGTGAGTTTAGTATCTGGGTGTCTGGGCTCCTACCTTAGTTCCACGTTTGGCAGCTCCTCCGGTGGTTCAGATGTGGGAAGTGTGTGGGCTCCACCTGAGAAACCTGCCCTAGGAAGCCCCGAGGATTTGCCCCATGTCTCTGCCCCGTGTCTTTCATAAGTGCTATAGAGACATCAAATGGGTCATTACTTTAACAGTTATTTTAAAAACATACATTATTGAATGATTATGGATAGTATATATATTAATGAATAATATTTCACTTTTCATATATTACATATTTTCCTTTTGTTTATTTTCTTCAGTTATGAAGTATTTAGAACAGTTAACCATGTTGGGTCAAAACTGATAGAATAAGGTGCTAGAGAAGGGGAGGGAAGGAAGGAGAAAGGGGAAATCTGTAATACTATCAACAATAAAAAATATATTTTTTAAAAATTGATAGAATAGTAATTAGAAGAAATGAAAAAAGCAGGAGGCTTTTTAAAAAAATAACACATTGGCCGAAACTGGTTTGGCTCAGTGGATAGAGCGTTGGCCTGCGGACTGAAAGGTCCCAGGTTCGATTCCGGTCAAGGGCATGTACCTTGATTGCGGGCACATTCCCAGTAGGGAGTGTGCAAGAGGCAGCTGATCTATGCTTCTCTCTCATCGATGTTTCTAACTCTCCCTCTTTCTTCCTCTCTGTAAAAAATCAATAAAATATATATATTTTAAAAATAACACATTGGAATAGTTTACGTTTAGACTTGGCCCTTCCCCAGCAGTCGGATACATTCAGAAGGTCTCATAAGTTCAGACCAGAAACTGCCCTTTGCTGGTCAATTTTCTTCTTCCTGTTTGTGGTGGGGTGGGGGGATCAATGGAAGTATCCAAGTGCTACTGAAACATCCTTTGTGAGCACAGGGATGGACAAGGATTGGCTGCCAGAAAGCCAGAATGCGCGACTTCCCAGAAAGGAAGTCGTCAGTGGGTCAGCCAGGCCTGGCAGTGAGTGCCTGGCCAGCCTGCTCTCTCGTGATAAAGAGGCACATCTGCCTGGCAGGGTAGTGGGGGACTTTCCAAGTGCACATGTTATGGCCTCAGAAGCTTTGATGATACCAGATTTGAAGGAAAAATATCAACATTTCCTGTCCTACCGTTATGGCAAGAGGAAATCACCATTAATCAGATGTAGTATAATTTCTCTGTATTTTGAAGGTGAACCTTAAGAAAACTGAACTATGTTTTCTTCAGAGGGGTTCTCTGGTAATTTCACATTTCTGAGGAGTTTTCTGAGTTGTAAATTAAAATTAGGTCCAGTGTTCCTGTGTCCAGTGTATGGCCAATGTTTCTTAAGAAACCTGCCCTTTGTGTGTGTGGGTGGTGACTGGTTAGCCAACAAATTTGAGTTGTTGTAACAATATATTTTCTCTGATTGTATACCTAGTAGTCAGAAACTTAGCCTGCTTTAGCCATCTAAGTACCTAACTAAATAAATGTATGGGATTTCAACCTTATCATGAAAATAGATTCTCTAAATTACCTCCCATCTGCAGATATTTGCAAGTCTGGATTCATCCCTTCTGACGTGGAGAAGAGGTTACAGCTGGAATGGCCATCCCAGGAGCAGTTGCTACTCAGAGAACAGTATTTCAAAAGGTTCAAGAATAGTACCTACTCAAGTAAGAAACGAATGGCACCCTGCAGGTGTCGCAGCCCTTAAATATTTGGATAGCTTGAACTTGGCCTTCAATCGAATAAGCCCTATAGCAGTTGTATAAAGCTGCATAATACTTAAATGTTAATCAAGAGTTAATGGGATGTTCTGCTGGTGTGGCTCAGTGATTGAGCATCAATCTATGAACCCGGAGGTTATGGTTTGATTCCTGATCAGGGCACATGCCCGGGTTGGGGGCTCAATCCCCAGGTGGGTGGGGATATGCAGGAGGCAGCTGATCGATGATTCTTTCTCTTGATGTTTCTATCTTTCTCTCCCTCTCCTTTCCTTTCTGAAATAAATTTAAAAAAGCATTTTTAAAAATTAAGTCTATATAAAAAAAAGAGTTAATGGAAATCTTGAACCCCAAACTTACGGTATTTGTTTCTTGTCTTCACCTGACTTTGCCTCTAGCCACAGAGTAAAATGTAGAAACTATTCCTTCATAAGCTAATAATAACCTTAACTTCTCTGAAGAACTAGGAAATCAAGGAAGACATGGATGCATTTGTCATATATGTGGGATCCCTTTCACGTCCCACGTGGTTCAGGGTTCTGGTTCAGGATTCGGGTTCTGGAGAAGGGCCACACATAAATGAAAAGAGACTAGAAGAAATTTAATTTGGTGACATGGGGGGCCAGGCAGTAATCCAACTCTAGTGGGAGAACTACCCACTGCTCTGGCTCTGCTATCCTTTTTATTGAGGCTATGGGGAAAACACCCATAACGCTTACACAGGAAATAACATAAATTTACATAGGACAAACAGAGGCGGAGGCTGCTTCAGCTAACAATGTCTCAACAAAAGGGTAAATTTTTAGAGCAATTAATGTTATTGACAGCCTTCCTGGCTTCCTGTCCACATCTCTCTATTAGTGAAACAGAAACTGGTTTCTGGCAGTATATAAAATTAAAATAGAAAAATGTAAAGAGTGGAATACGGAAAACCTTGTTGTCCATTCTCTGCCTCCCAGAAGCAACCCCTATTGTGAGTTGGTGAATTAGGCAGGGGAGCCCTGAGTCATACCAGCCAGCCTTGGCCTGGAAGCAGCGTTCTCCTTTTCTTTCCTCTGTGGTTTGCAAACACATGAGTAGCTCAACTAATCAGGAATTCATTTCCATTCAACTGAAATCATTTTTCAATCTTCAAAATGGGAGGATGTTGTCAGGCAAGGCTTTGAAGCAACTAAAACAAGCAAGCCTTATCTAACTGTGATATATATTTTTATCTGAAAGGTGATGTTGTCATACCCTCCTAAGGGATGATGTTGCCCCAGATCTCAGTTGAGGAAATAGCCAGCTCAGAAAGTCCACAACTGCCTTCTTCAGACTTTTGAAAAATAAATTATCTTGAATTTAATTTGGGTTAGTCAGCATTTCTAAAAGTACCTTATTGAAAGTAAATTATCTTCATAAGATTTATCTTGTGCACTCTCTGGATTTCAGTGTGTCCAATAGGTGGTTTTTTTGTTTGTTTTTTTAAATATATTTTATTGATTTTTTACAGAAAGGAAGAGAGAGGGATAGAGTTAGAAACATCAATGAGAATCATCGATCAGCTGCCTCCTGCACACCCCCTACAGGGGATGTGCCCACAACCAAGGTACATGCCCTTGACGGGAATCGAACCTGGGACCTTTCAGTCCACAGGCCAACGCTCTATCCATTGAGCCAAACTGGTTTCGGCTCCCATGGGTGTTTTTTTTGGTTTTGTTTGTTTGTTTGTTTGTTTTGTTTTGGTTTGGTTTTTTTTTAATATATATTTTATTGATTTTTTACAGAGAGGAAGAGAGAGGGATAGAGAATTAGAAACATCGATGAGAGAGAATCATTGATCAGCTGCCTCTTGCACATCTCCCACCGGGGATGTGCCCACAACCAAGGTACATGCCCTTGACCGGAATCAAACCCGGGACCTTTCAGTCCGCAGACCGACGCTCTATCTACTGAGCCAAACCGGTTTGTTTTTTGTTTTGTTTTGTTTTTTTAATAAATTTTTATTGTTCATATTATTACAAATGTTCCTCCTCCCCCCCATTGCTCTCCTTTACCAGGTTCCCACCCCACCCTCTGCCCTTTCCCCACCCCCCATTGTCCTCATCCATAGGTGCACAGTTTATGTTCAGTCTCTTCCCACATCCCCCTCTCCCCTTTTCCTCAAGAATTGTCAGTTTACTCCCCTTCCATACCTCTGATTCTATTATATTCAACAGTTAATATTGTTCATCATATTTTTTTTTAATTCTTTGGTTTTTAGATTCACTTGTTGATAGTTACATATTTGTTATTCATAATTTTTATCTTTATTTACTTTCTCTTCTGAAAGAACCCCCTTCAGCAATTCATATAATTCTGGTTTGATAGTGATGAACTCCTTTAGCTTTTTTTTTATTAGTGAAGCTCTTTATCTGGCCTTCGATTCTGAGTGATAGCTTTGCTGGATAGATTATCTTTGGCTGTAGGTTCTTGCTATTCATTACCTTGAATATTTCTTGCCATTCCCATCTGGCCTGCATGGTTTCTGTTGAGAAATCAGCTGACAATCGTATAGGTGCTCCTTTATAGGTAACTACGTGCTTTGCTCTTGCTGCTTTTAATATTCTCTCTTTGTCTTTTGCTCTTGGAATTTTAATTATGATTTGTCTTGGTGTGGTCCTCTTTTGATTCCTTTTGTTTGGAGTTCTGTGCGCTTCCTGGACTTGTAAGTCTAATTCTTTCACCAGGTGGGGGAAGTTTTCTGTCACTATTTCTTTCAGTATGTTTTTGATATCTTGCTCTCTCTCATCTTCTGGGACCCCCATAATTCTGATGTTGGTTCACTTGAAGTTGTCCCAGAGGTTTCTTACATTATCTTCAATTTCTGGATTCTCTTGCCTTCTAGCTTCTGCAGAAGAGTGTCTTCTGGCTCTTTATGTTCCAAATCTTTGACTTGATTCTTGCGATCTTCCATTCTGTTTTTAGGACTCTGTATAATATTTTTTATTTAAGACAATGTATTCTTTATTTCTTGTAGATCCCTTATCATTTCTTATTGATCCCTTATCATTTCTTGTTGCTCCCTTATCATTTCTTGTTGATTCCTTATTAATTCTAGTTGATCCCTTTTCATATCCTCATAGGTCTTATCGATCTTTTCTAGGAAATTCTTGAAAAACCTTATAAGCATAGATTTGAACTCTATATCCAGTCGCTTTTTGTCCTCCATTTCTTTCGTTTGTGATCTATTTCCTCTCAGCATTTTCGCAGCTTCCCTGATGGGGCGGGATTTCAGGGTGGAGCCTACAGCCTTGGCTTCCGTCAGCCCCGCCCTATGCAGCTCCTGAGTCTCAGGGTCCTTCAGTACTCGTTGCAAGTGCCTCTGAGAGAAAGGTGCCCTCGATTTTCACCTGCTACCAAACAGTCTAGGCTCTCCCCCAATGAGCCCGGTATTGGGGTTCAGTTCAGTTGGAAGTGAAGTTGGAGCTGGCATTCAGAGCAGTCTAGAGCCCCTATCTCCTTCCCGCCACGGCAATCCCGCGGCACAGCCAACCGTCCCTTCTCTGCGCGCAATGTGGCAATGTGCGCACCTCCGGGACCTCCTTTCGCCGCTCTCCCGGGGTTCCACCTTACAGCCCAGCTCCCTCTGTTTGAGCCTGAGTCCCCGGGGTCTGGCCTAGAACTGGGGTTCAGAGCAGTCGGAACAGGGGCCCAGCACAGTTGGAGCTTTTATCTCCTTCCTGCTAGGGAACGCCAGCCAGGCACTCAGCCTCCCCACCCTTCCTCTCCAGCTTAGTCCTCTCTGCGTGCGCCGCGTGTCTCAGTACCTTAGGCTTTTACAACTCCTCCATTCTTCCTTCTGGTTTTCTCCTTGCTTCTCATTGTAGAATTTCCAGTCAGTCGACTTTCCTGTAGTTCTGGGTAATGTCCATTTTATATTTTATTTGTATTTTATTGAAATTGTTGTGTGCAGCTGCAGCTAGGTGTTTACCTGTGCAGCCATCTTGGATTCTCCTAGTGTTTTTCTCCCATGGGTTTTTTAATTTTTAAATTTATAAGATACAGAAAAACAAATCAGAAAATATAATAGATGGTGTAGTTCTCTAAAATACTTTTTGCATTTATAATAGGGCAGGACTACTCTGACATTGGTTGCATGGGATTTAGCACAAGGCAGGGCCACCTCAGATCCATTAAAGGAATGACAGAAAAACAGAGAGACCTCCAGCAGCAAGGCCTCCATAAATAAACCTTTATGATAAAGGCCTGCTTAGAGAAGACCCCACAGCCTTCAATAATCTACAGATTCCCACTTTTTTAAAATTATATTTTATTTATTTTTTTAAAATATATTTTATTGATTTTTTACAGAGAGGAAGGGAGAGGGATAGAGAGAAACATTGATGAGAGAGAATCATCAATCAGCTGCCTCTTGCACACCCCCTACTGGGGATGTGCCCGCAACCAAGGTCATGCCCTTGACCGGAATCAAGCCTAGGACCTTTCAGTCTGCAGACCAACGCTCTATCCACTGAGCCAAACCGATTTCGGCCAGATTCCCACTTTTTTTTTTTTTTTTTTTTTTTAATCATGTTAAACAGTATACCAGCTTACCTTAAATTTTCCTTTAAAAAAAAGGTTTGCTCTCACATGATCTTTCTGGAACCAACATGGTGGTTTTCAGCATCTTTTCTTGCCTGTCGGACTGGGACTTTCATAGTTCCTATTTTAGGGGAAAGTTCCTTTGCTAACTACATAGTAACTGGATCAGTAAAACTCCAGCCACCCCGTTGGCAATGCAAAAATCTGTGCCCAATACAGATTGTTTATTTGAATTTGGGAATATTTGACTTCAGGTTTGAAATTCTCTATTTTAATCTGTATATCTTGTAAACTTATAATTAGGAATCCCTGTGTTTATTCTGGGCACCAAACTCTTTACAGTGATAAGTTTCTCAGAAGCCAGAGGGAGTTTCCGCACATTGTTCTGCATCCATGGCTGAGGCTGGTCATGCCTGAGTAACTTGGGGTGGCATCACATGATAGAAGGGAGAGCAAGAATCTGTTGTGGCAAGGACACCTTGCTTTGCCAGTGGCCCAGACCCTTAAAACAGGTGTCCTAGAAGATATAGGTACGTTTTCTCATTCCAGAGCACATTCGAAGATGACAAAAACATTTGTGATGAGAATATAAACTCACACTGGAAACCTGCTAGGACAGGAAACCTGCTAGAAGCAATGTGTTACAGATATAATTCTGGGTGTGACTGCAGAAAGGAAGACTGTCTTATTAAAATAATCACATTCAATGAGCTAATTCTTAGCTCTTCTTCTCCACCTCTCTTCCTCATTATTACACTCCTCCACCCTCAACACCCAGCCCACACTGGATGCTGGACACTCTTATGTAAATATATAAGCATGTTATGGTATGATGCCAGGGAAAGAGGCAGTGCCAATTTTTAATGTCATTTACATTGCTTTTGTCCCAGGGTTCTCTCCATCATCTCATACAGGAAGGGATAAGAGGTTGGATAATGTCTGAGAGTAGGATAATTAGCTATGAGTTTTCTTCTTTTTTTTAAAGTCCTCACTCAAGGGCATGCTTAGAGATAGGAAGGGAGAGCATTGGAAAAGGGGATGGGGAGGAGGAGCATCAGTGTGAGAGAGAAACATTGATCGGTTGCCTCCCATCCATGCCAGCCAAGGATCGAACCTGTACCCCAGGTTGTGTCCTGACCTGGAATCCAGTGGCAGCCTTTAGGTGATGATGCTCAACCAACTGAGCCATTCCAGCCTGGCAGCTGTGAGTTTTCTTATTGTTCTAATTTTGAGAAGGGAGTAGGCATTTTTTTTTTAAAGTGGATTCAAACTCACTAATATGCAACCCTTATACTAGGAGATGTAGCGAGCAGGCTACCTTGAAAAGAAGTACTCATTTAAAGACAGTGCTATTGCTAAACATGAGAGATTTGGTCCACTGATTCTGAAAGAAATGGAGTCACAAGAAATTCACCAGGAAATTCAGGAATTGGATTGTTATGATGATGTTCCAGAAGATGATGACATGATTATTATTGAATAAATGAGTAAATTCTTGATACTGTAGGATTCACAGTTTGTCTGGTTTGTGTTGACAACTACCGTACTACCGTACCGTATACAGGTAATAAATTTCCTTTATTTCCATTTAACAATAAATGTGTACTGTATTCTTCTTCATGGAAAAATAAGACATCCCCTGAAAATAAGACCTAGCGCATCTTTGGGAGCAAAAATTAATATAAGACACTGTCTTATTTTCCGGGAAACAGGGTAGTAGCCCTGCACACAAATCCGTGCGCCAGTAGCTCACCAGTAGCTTGCTTCCACCCTCCTCTATCTCTCCACTCGCTGCCCCGTCCTGTCCTCCTGTAACTCCCTCCACCTCCTCCCCATTACCCCTCATATCTTGCTGCCCTGCCCCCTCCTGTAGCTCTCCACTGCCTGCTTGTATCTTGCTGCCCCACCCCCCTACTGATCCACAATTTGGTTGTTACACGGTTGGTAGTTATGCTTCAAAGCGTAACTTTGTTATATACGATAGTCAATCCTTACTGCAGGAATTCCAGGTGTACCAGTTAATGTGGATTTTTTTTCAATAGATGGAATTATACATATGTTAATATATATATACAATTTGATATGTATGCTATAATGACAGCAAGCTTCAAAATTTCATGTCAAATTTTATGAAGGTGATACTTTTATGCTTAAAAATGTTAAATTTCAGACAAAAAAAAAAGAACATTTGTGGGAGGTTTTAATTCTTTATTTGGAAGAAAAGTGCTGTTGAAAGTTATCGTATACATTGGGAAGCTTATGGTGAACATGCTCCATCTCAAGACACTTGTGAATGCTGCTTTAAATGCTTTAAAAGTGATGATTTATATATGAAAGACAAAGAACATCCAGGTCAACCGAAAAAGTTTGAAGACCAACAATTACAAGCATTATTGGATGAAGATGCGTGTCAAACTAAAAAAAAAAAAAAAAAAAAAAAAAAAAAAAAAAAAAAACTTGCAGAAAGATTAAACATTGCTCAGCAAACAATTTCCTATAGTTTATAAACAATGGGAAAGATTTTAAAGGAAGGAAAATGGTGCCACATCAACTGAATGAAAGACAAATGGACAGTGAAAAAGTCATCAGTAATATTTTTCTCAACTGTATGAAAGAAAGTCTTTTTTGCATCAAATTGTGACTGGCCATGAGAAATGGATTTATTTGGGGAATCCCAAATACACAAAACCATGGGTTGATTCAGGTCAATCATTAACATCGACTGCAAGACCAAATCATTTTGGAAAGAAGACAATGCTCTGCGTTTGGTGGGATCAGGAAGATGTGATGTACTATGAACTTCTGAAAACAGGTGAAACCGCTAATATTAATCATTACCGACAACAAATAATTTAAACATGCTTTGATCGTGAAATGACCAGAATGTTCCACAAGACATGGCAAAGTAATTTTGCTTCATGATAATGCACCATCACACACTTTAACAGTTAAAGACATGTTAAAAGGTCTTGCCTGGGAAGTATTACACACCCACCGTATTCACCAGGCCTTACTCCTTCAGATTACCACTTGTTCTGATGGATGGCACACGCACTTTCTGAGCAGCCCTTCAAAACGTATGAAGAAGTGGAAAATTGGGTCTCAGAGTGGTTTGCCTCAAAATAAGAAAAGTTCTATTGGGACGGTATCTACAAATTACCTGAAAGATGGGGAAATGTGTAGCTAGTGATGCACATTTCTTTGAATAAAGCATGTTTGATATTTCTCTTGAAATCACCATGTTTTCTTTGATTATAAAATCTGCCATTATGAACGGGTACACCTGGTAGTGAACTATGAAGAACATGTCTGGCGGCCTTCATCACTGTGGTGCCAACCTAACTATTAAATTATGTTTCTCTTGTAGGAAGCTCAGTGGATATCCTGTACACGTTTGCAAACTGCTCGGGACTGGACTTGATCTTTGGTCTCAATGCCTTACTGCGAACCGCAGACTTGCAGTGGGACAGTTCTAATGCTCAGCTGCTCCTGGACTACTGCTCTTCCAGGCGTTATAACATTTCTTGGGAGCTAGGCAATGGTAGGTACCCCTGGGAACGTTTCATTAACGAGATTCTCCCTTGGCATTATTTGTTTATACTTAGGACGTTAGCAGATATATTTCTGGTTCAGCACATTTGTGCAGTGCTCAACAGTGCAACTTTGGGATTGCTTAATGAGCACTGTCCTGAGTAGTTAATAAGTATTCACTTATTTTATCTTTTTAACCACCCTGAATAGATACAATTCTTACCTTCATTTCACAGATAGCAAGAGCACTGAAAGACTAGCTAAATAGCTGTGTGTGATGCTGTGCAACTCTTAGAGGATTCTTAGAGAAGGTAGGCTTTGCACCCAAGCAATCTGCCTTCAGAACAAGGTCTCTGCTCTCTGGAGACTTCTATTCTAGAGGTAGGAAGCCAAACCAACAAGAAAACAAGCCAAAAATGATACATACTAGTAGTGGTATATGTTATGGTAAAGTCTAGAGCAGCTTTTCTGATCGAGTTGCTGAGGATAACTATCAACCTGGAGTGTGCGTGCACACACACACACTCACACACACACACACACACACAGAGAATAGAAGAGTAGAGGCAACTGTATCTTAGCTAGATGATGAACTACTTTACTATAGCCACCATATGCATAATAGGTCACCTGAACCCCTCCTTATCCATTTTTCTCCCTCCCTCTTTGCCTCCCTCTCTCCCTGCCTCCCTTTTCTTTCCTCCCTCTCTCTTTCCCGCTCTCTTTTTCTACCCTACAATCCCAACTCCTTCTGCTCTTCACAGTGAGATAAAAGAGGGATGTTATTATGTTTCCCTCTTCCTTGGGCCCCATTTTGCAAAGAAAAGGTCTGGTTTCAGAGTAAAGGTATATGTGGGAAATGATTTGGACACTGTGCCTCCCTCCCATCTCTTCAGCTTTACTACTTCTAGGATCATTTGCACATATAAACCTTCTATTTTTTTTTTTAAGCTATCCATTGGTTTAAATCCCATTATTAATTTCAAATTGTTTTAATACCCCGTCATACCTTAGTTATAGAATTCAAAATTTTGTTTTTCTGTAATATTGTCTTTATAACTAGTGGTTTTACTTTCCTTGACTTTGAGTTCTAAGATTTTTATAATTTGAAAAATGTTTTGTTGCTGTTATGTTTGATTTTTAAGTAAAACATTTCTACATAAGCGATTCTTTTTGGAAATTGCTCTTTCAGAACCCAACAGTTTCCAGAAGAAGGCTGGTATTTTCATCGACGGGTTGCAGTTAGGAGAAGATTTTGTTAAGCTACATAAACTTCTAGGAACATCTGCTTTCAGAAATGCAAAACTCTATGGTCCAGATATCGGTCAGCCTCGAGGAAAGACTGTGAAGATGCTGAGCAAGTAAGAGCTCAAGGAAGAACCACTTTTCTTAAAAATTGTATTTCCCCTGTGTAGAGTCTTCAGTAGCTCACATGTTATTAAAAAGCTTTCTGCGTGGCTAGTTGTTAAGCAAAAGAGAAAACATTGACTGGTTCAGAATACCAAGGTTTTGGGTCAAATGGTACCTATGATAAAGTTTGTAGTATCTCAGTTAGGAAGGTTGTGTTTGCCTGATCCTAAAGCAGTAACCAGCCCATTTCTTGTGCATATGTTGTGTATATATGTATATCTGAGAATTGAGTGATAACATAATAGATTTTGATTTTGTAGTTTCCTGGAAGCTGGGGGAGAAGTGATTGATTCAGTTACATGGCACCAGTAAGTACATCTCCCGTTCTTTGTTGTTGTTCTTTTTTTTTTTAAATCAAATTTATTGATTAATAAAGTTATGTAGGTTTTAGGTGTACAATTCTAGGCTACATCATCTGCTTATCGTACTGTGTGCTCACCACCCCAAGCCAAGTCTCCTCCATCACCATTTATCCTCCGTTTACCTTCTCAACCTCCCTCCTGCCCCCCTTACCTTTGGTAATCACTATATTTGTCTGTGTCTATGAAGTTTTTTTTTTCTTGCTTAAACTATTCACCTTTTTCACCAAACCTTGCTACCCCCTCCTCTCTAAAAGCTGTCCATCTATTCTCTGTACCTATGAGTCTGTTTCCATTTTGTTAGTTTATTTTGTTCATTAGACTCCACATATGAGTGAAATCATATAATACTTATCGTCCTCTGACTGGCTTATTTCACTTAGCACAGTACTCCCTCCAGGTCCATCCATGTTGTTGCAAAGGGTTAGATTTTATTTCTTTTTTTAAAATTTCTTCATTGATTTAAGTGTTACATATGTGTCCTTATTCCCCCATTATCCTTCCATCCCCCAACTCATGCCCTTACCCCCTTGTTGTCTATGTCCATGGGTTAGGCTTATATGCATGCATATAAGTCCTTTGGTTGATCTCTCCCCCTTACCCCCACTCTCCTCTACCTTCCCTCTGAGGTTTGATGGTCTGATTGATGTTTCTCTGTCTCTGGAACTGTTTTTGTTCTTAAGTTTATGTGATTTCCTTACTTTTTTTTTGACCAAGTAGTATTCCATTGTGTAAATGTACCATAGATTTTTTGTCCACTCACCTATTAATAGTATGTCTTCTTAATACTAAGAAAGTACTGCTGGCTTTACTTACTGTTGTTGTGTTTTTTTCAAAAATTATTTCCATTTAACTGCTAATTGACTTTATAATTCAAGTAAGAATCACAGTGTCTCAAACAGCACTGTAGTAAAATTTTAACATTAACAAAACAAAAGTTAAACTAATTTTAAATAATGTGGTGGTTTCTACAAGATCAAGGCACACTGTCCTTTGACTCATGTGACAGATAAGTAGCTACAGCCAATATGCTTGCTGCAAAACAAGTAACCCAGGAGGCCCTGCACTGATGACTGTGTCTCCTCAAGACAGAGTAACCAATCCCCTTTCATCATGGTCTCGCCTTAGCAGAACTTCTGCCTCTTTAAAAACAAAACAAAAACAAAACAAACAAAAAAAAACAGAGAGGTGGAAAGAGGTAGTAAGAAGAGTAGGTACAGCCAATTAACTTAAAAACAGAAGGTAAAGATTGTTATTTTTCTCTGATTATTTTCTAAATAACTTAGCTACTACTTGAATGGACGAACTGCTACCAAAGAAGATTTCCTAAACCCTGATGTGCTGGACACTTTTATTTCACCTGTGCAAAAAATTTTTCAGGTAATAGTCTTTTATTCTTTTAAGTATAAAACCAAAGTCCTTATTCTATGGTTTAGCTGGTGCCAAATTCTACAGATATATAAATTTACGTGTTTTCTAATCTTAGAGAGCAGGCACTAATCTTACTCACCTTCCATCCCCTTGGCATCAGATCTTATCCATGGACATTGATTAGAAATGAAAAATATTTCTAATAGCCTTTTGGTAGAATTAACTTTCATAGGCTATAAGAATGAGGTTGTTTACATTTCTTCCACACCTTTAATTCTAATAAAAGTAAATTTCCTGAGACCTAAGTGATTGTGAACATATTTTGTAACTTTATTGGACAGATGAGTCTGGGAATACAAGATTTTGAATGTCATTAATGTCCAGCACCATAGTTGGTCAGCTTGCTTGCAGTTACCATAGAGACTTTCCTGTTTCATAGGTTGTGGAGATGACCAGACCCCACAAGAAGGTTTGGTTAGGAGAAACAAGCTCTGCGTTTGGGGGTGGAGCACCCTTGCTGTCCAACACCTTTGCAGCTGGTTTCATGTGAGTGAATAGCCCCCGCCTCAGGGACCAGATTCCAGCGTATTCCTATTCTATTCAGTTGAAATAATTCATTAGCTAAAAATCTGATCAATGATGGTTCTGTGGCTGAGTTCCAAAATTTGTGCCAGATTTTGTAAGATAATGATTTACTAAAGCTTGTTGGACATACTGTATTTCATCATTGTATGAATGAATTGCTTTAGAAGTTCTGTTCCTTAATTTTGGCCCATGGCCATGCCAAGGATTCCTCCTTGAAAGAAGTACATTGTGAAAACAAAACAAAAGACATTGCAAAGGAGTATATCTATAGCTCTGACTCTGGAAGCATTTGTAGTACATGCTACACAGTTATTACAGACAAGAAGCCCAGCGCGAGAAATTGTGCAGCTCCACCCACCCACTTGCACCTCATCGCGCATGCTTTGCCACATATGCAGCCTCCTGGTGACCAGTCTTTGGTCGTTACAGCATAACGACCACTGGGTTTTTATTATATAGATTCCCAAGAAGTTTAGAGCCTGAAGTATGAGGTCATACCAGAGGACCTATCAATGAACTTAAATTAGCTCCTACTCCAACCACCACAAAGTTGATTGCTTTAAACAACCGTTAACTTACATTCCATAACTCGGTTAACACTCTCATATTGAGACTTAATCTCTTTCCTCTCCTCCTTACATAAAGTAGAATAAGCCCAGAATAAAAGTACAGATTGCTTATGCTCTTGCAGGCATGATGAGTAGAGAAAAGAATGGAGATGTTTGTTTTGCCATTAACTAAAGATAAGGGGCAGGCGGTGTCCATAAAAGTTTAGGTGTGATCCTACTTATTTTACTACTCCTGGCTACATGGAACCTTGTAATGTTTAGACCTCACATACGGGTGGGGAGGAGGGCTACCCTGAAAGACAAGGAGTAATTGTCTGTGGCGGTAGGAATTTACCTACTCTGCTGTACAGACCACATCTACCCTGAAGGGGACTTCTGTAGCATATTAATAGTTCTTTAGGATTAGTAATCGTGCAGAAGTATGGGAACTCGTGATGGGAAGGATAGTCTTCATTTAATTTGAGTTACTTATTTACAATTAATACCAGTTTTCTCGTTTCATAGAGGAATAAATCAGAATAGTCGATAATTAGAATTAAGTTATTTTGTTCTCTGAGCTGGAAGAAAGCTGGGCCTCACTCTGTTCCAGGTGGCTGGATAAATTGGGCCTATCGGCCAGGATGGGCATAGAAGTGGTGATGAGGCAAGTGTTTTTTGGAGCTGGAGCCTACCACTTAGTGGATGAAAACTTCGAACCTCTACCTGTAAGTGATCATTATTCTTCTATTTCTATGAGTAGATTAGACTATGCTGAGGACCCCTGTATTAACCTTCCTCTAATGGTAAATTCAATGCTCTCAATGTAGCCAAACCATGGACAGGATAGAGATAATCCATTCCAACTTTTTTTTGTATCTCAAGAGAAGAAATTAAGACCTAGGAATAATGTTTTCAATGTGATCCACTTTGGATATCATTTGAAATTTTATGACTCTCATTTTACAAGATATAAAACTTGGATCAAAAATGTTTTAAGAGTAAATTAAAGTTAAAATTGTTTATAGTATCCAAAGCTTTAAAACTTTTTATGTCATTAAATTATAATTTATTTAACCTTAAGATAAGCCAGTAGTATCACGTATTTGTTCAAAAATCTCACCCAAAGAATTGGCTATTTTGTAATAATCTTCAAGGTATTTGTGAATTTTTAAAAAGTCCATCCTACCTCAGCTGTATCTGGTGCTAAATTAGGTAATGTAGCCTTTCCATCTAAAAAGTCATCTGGAATCTATATGTGTCTAAAAATTAAAATAGTATAGATATCTATACTATAGATATCTCACTGAGAAGTATGACCTTGATTTTTATTATCTAAAATGATATTTGAGGATATCTGTTTTTCTAAGAATTTCTAAAGGAATTATTTGAATATTGTAGGAAAGCTAAGGAAGTTTGCAAAAAGCACATACCAAAATAGGTATGCTAGGCTTCTATGGTGTGTAGCTAGATTTCTCAACAAAATTGCTTTTAATCTATAGTGGTCCAAACTCATGTAGCACACTGTTCATAACTTTTAGAAAATGCTTAGAAAAATGACCTTGTACAAAATAGAATCTGTCTTCCCCAAGTGTATTATGAGCCATCTAAAAGTTACCAAACATGATAATTTCATTAGACAAATATCCAGAATCTATTGCTGGCCCTTTTTTAAATTGGCTTTGAGGAAGAAAGGTAAATAAATAGTTTCTACAAAATTCACTTTGAGTATTATCCTGTCACTTTTTGTAAATAGTGCCAGTTATTTAGTATGTTATCTAAATCTTCTCAGGGCCTAAGCATAAACCTTTGGCTTCAGATCCTTTTATATGCACTAAACTATACTTCTTTCTCATGGTGCAGAATCAGCTAGCAAAACTTGCAAGAATATATGTGCCATATTACTATGAATAGGATCAAGGGAATTGGCCTTAAACCTATTGTACCTGTCTGTTCTCTTATTTGATTTGCATAACAATCCCAGAAGCCAGAAAGACAGGTATCTTAGACGCATGTTTTTCAGATGAGGAAGTTCTAATTGAGATGAAGTCATGAGGTCACACAGTATTATTCTGGAAGAGTCCTGTACAAATCCTGGCTGAGGCCTGCATGCTTTCTACCCTCCCAGGAACTGAGCCTGCTCAAGTTTTGTCTCTTGTGAAACATTTCATTGATTCTACTCTTGTCTCAAGAGACGATTTGAATCTGAATTTAGGCAGAGAAGCAAAAGCTGCCTACTTTCCCTTACCTCAAGAACAAAGAAATGAGGTATATATTGAGTGGTTTATTTTTAAACTAATAATTATGGAACATTTCAAAGTAGAGAGATAAGTGTATGAATCTCCAGTCTTGTTTAATCTACAATGGTAACTACTCCTTACCTCCCACCTATTGTATTACTTTCAGCAAATCTCGGATATATCACTTTACCCATAAATATTTTAGTATGTATCTCCTTTTTAAAAACATAGTATCATTATTATACTTTAAAATATTAACAATAATTCCTCAATATCATCAAATATTAAATCAGTGTTTCCCATTTTTCTTATTGTTGCTCTTAATAGTTAGGATATTCAAATCCATAACATTCACATATAGAATTTGGTTGATATATCTCAAGTCTATTAATCTTTTTGGGGAGTCTGTTAATCTTTAAGTTCTCCTTTCCTTTTTTTTTTTTTTTTTTTTTTTTTTTTTTTTGTCCACTGGAATTTATTAATTAAAGAAAGCAGGTAATTTGGTCTGTAGTGTTTCCCACATTTTGGATTTTGCTAAGTTTATTCTTTTAGCATGTTACTCTGTTCCCTATAGTTCCTGTAAACTGGTAGTTAGAACTAGAGACTTGAGCTTACTCAAGTTTTTTTGTTTTGTGTTGCAAGAATTCTTTGTAGGTGATGTTGTGTGCTTCCATCAAGAGTTTCATAATGTCTGGTTATCTTGGGTTTTTTTCCACCTTGATAGCTAGTGATGATTTTTCCCTAATCCATTACTTTATTAGGAGTGTTATAAGGTTTTAAAGAAAATAATTTAATCTCTTAAACAGAAATTTTATTTTAAAAATGTGTGTGCATGTGTGTGTGTGTGTGTGTGTGTGTAAAAGTGCTGCTTTGAACTTTGCTTTCCATTCTTGGATGATAAACAACAGAGAATATTTAAATGGTCTCTTAGCCAATAATTGAAGTCTTGAGCTATAACTCCTAGCAGGTAAGGACCCCTGAACTGTAGAAACATAGTCCTCTAGCGATAAAAAAATAAAAAAAATAAAAATAAAAGGCAGCAAACAAGATACTGCACTCACATTCATGAATAACCCAAATCAAATGATGAATCCTATTTAATTACCTCTAGAATAACAGTCATACTCTTTATAGGATAACTACTTGCTTCATTTTGTTAAATGAAGAACTAAATAAAGTTCTATTTTTTGTCTCTCCCCTCCCCAACCACCACAACTAGGATTATTGGCTCTCTCTTCTATTCAAGAAACTGGTGGGCACCATTGTATTAAAGGCAAGTGTGAAAGGTCCAGCCAGAAGCAAACTTCGAGTATACCTTCATTGCACAAACATCAACCAGTAAGTATGCAATACACTTTACAAACAAACAAGTTTTAATTAGTAAGCACATAACTTTCTACTCTGACACCCTGGTGTTCCCTCTCTACTCAGAGTCTAAACTCTGTCATTATTCTTTTATTTTCCTCTTCATAGTATTATGGTGCCAGAGTCTAAAAAACACACAAACAACAAAATATAGCTTAAATATTAGCATTTGGCTTTTACAATGACTTTGTCATAATCCATAATCAAAATATATCCTAATTTTAAATAAAGAATAGTATCAATGTATTTTTCAAAAATATTATTTTATTAATTTCAGAGGGGAAGGGAAGGGGGAGAGAGATAGAAACATCAATGATGAGAGAATCATTGATTGGCTGCCTCCTGCATGTCCCCGACTGGGGATTAAGCCCGCAACCCAGGAATATGTCCTAACCAGGAGTTGAACTGTGACCTCCTGGTTCATAGGTCATCACTCAACCATTGAACCATACTGGTAGGACACCAACACATTTTTATATGAACAATTACTTCATTAAATGACTATGAATGAATATAACTATAAATTCATCTGAATGAATAATTATGACTATACTTATTCCCTTGTGTCATATCTGATCAATTTGATAAGGAAGAAGAATTAAAGAACAATATCAACAATAACCACCTTGTTTTCAAAAGTTTCAAACCAATTTATAGTTTATACCCTACCTTTGGTGGCAAAAATATGCTCCCAAATCTCATGGATTTTTCTCTTCTTAGTTTCAATCTGTCCATCCTGATAGGATGATAATTAAAATACTAGTTCTAGCCAAAATAGATACCCGACATTTCCAGTCGCTGGTGAGTGGGAACTCGGGATAGTGAGGGACCCACTAGGAAGAAGTTGGGGAGAAGTTTGGATAAATAAATTCTGAAAAGTATCAACAGATTTAACTTTCTTTTCATACGGCTAGAAAAAGGTTTACAATTATAAACCATGTGGTTTATAATTCAAATGCACATGAACCCACAAAACTCAACTTTTATCATTTAACCTTCCTATGTTTGAAAATGAATACTAAGCTGCCTGGCTTCCTAGTAACTCAGTAGCAAAGATCTGAGGGTACCCCAGACAGTGGTGCTGTGAAGAGCAATGTATAGTCAATTTCAAATAGGGCCACATTTGTGGTCTTACATCATTATAAAAGGAAGAGTAAAAAGAAGGTCTATTATCATTATAAATACTAATACTTAGTATCCATAATTATATTTGTAATCAAGTTTTTAATTGTTTAAGCTCGAGACAACTATTTTTATTATTGAGTCAATCTATTTGCTTTTAGCCCAAGGTATAAAGGAGGCGATTTAACTCTGTATGCCTTAAACCTTCATAATGTCACCAAGCTGTTGCAGTTACCACATTATTTATTTGACAAAGAAGTGGACAGATACCTTGTAAAGCCTTCAGGACCTGATGGATTGTTTTCCCAGTGAGTATTTTTACTTGTTCATTTTATTTTATTTTATTAATATTTTTATTGATTTTTTACAGAGAGGAAGGGAGAGAGATAGAGAGCCAGAAACTTCGATGAGAGAGAAACATTGACCTACCGGGGATGTGCCCGCAACCAACGTACATGCCCTTGACCGGAATCGAATCTGGGACCTTTCAGTCCTCAGTCCGACGCTCTACCACTGAGCCAAACCAGCTTCGGCTTACTTGTTCATTTTAAACTTTCACCAAATGTATCAGTTTGTCAGCATAGAGTGTTGATAGAAAGAAAAAGATGCCAACTGTTTCAAGTTTTGACAATTTTTAATATTCAGAAAATTTATATATAAATACCTATTCATACAGGTATATTCACTCTGAGAGTCAAAAGCAGAAGGACTGAACACAAGCTAGCAGTTATCTTAGGAAGTTAGTTTGCATTTCAAAACAACTTGATATATCAAGATCCATTCAATATATTTAGATTTGCTCTAAAAATACTTATAATTCTTGTTAACAGTCACAAAAGCGAAGCAAACCTATATATAATTGCTAGTAAGAGACTGGGGGTTGCTGTAAACTGTTATTCTTTGTGAGCTCGGCATGATTTTCTAACAGCTTTAAAGTAGTTTTTTATTACTTAGAGTAAAGAAAAAGTAGCTTGGAATGTACCTTTTAGGTCCAACGTATGTTGGAAGGATCTCTTTTCATCATGGTTATTTTCAGATTGAAGCATAAAAAAGTTAAGAGTTCACAAAATTCTTTCCATCTCCTCCCATCTTTGCAAATGCTATATGAGTGATGTTTTCAGTGACAATTAGCATCATAACCTGAAGAAGGACAGCAAGAATGCTTTCTCCAAAGTCCTATCCCCCAGAGATAAACATTATTAACACTGGGTAACATACCTTTATTTTCCTTCCTGTGCTTCCTTTTATTATAACTGTAAGCATACAATCTGTAATGGGAAAAAGAGAAGAGGAATCCACAAATTTTCCCATGTCTTTCCATGCAGAGCCTTTATAGACATTTAAAAATTTTTAATTGAATTTATTGGGGAGACATTGGTTAATAAAATTACAGGTTTCAGGGGTACAATTCTGTAATACATCATCTGTATATTGTATTCTGTTCACCACCCTATAGACATTTTTAATGTGTTGCATGTTTTACAAAATCCTACTGTTTAAACCTCCTTTTCCTTTTGTAAATAATGCATATTTGGGTAACAGATACTTTTCAGGTAACAGATACTTTTCTCTATTTGGGTTCTGAACCTTTTAAAGTGGGTCTTTTTAGCATATTTGTGTCTGAGGCTGAAAAGGGAAAAGCTTTTGTAAAGTAACTGAATAATAGTTGTAGAGTTGCAATTGTCTTAGATCATTTTAGTCCAACTTTAGGTCAGTATCTGCTTCCTCCTCTGATGAAGCTCCCAGCCTCTCCTGGTGACTGTTCTCGCTGGTGGGGACAAAGTGAGCCTCTTTGTGCCTTTTTTCTGCTGCTCTTAGTTCTGTTTTCTAGGGCAGAAGTTGGAAACTACACCTCATGCCTATGGGCAAGTGGGTTTAGACAAGTGGTTTTTCTCTTCCTGGTGGGGAAGGTTGGCATGCACTCTGTTAATTTTTTATTTTTAACTAGGGGCCCAGTGCACGAATTCGTGCACCTTGAAAGGAACTGTGTGCCTTGAGGCTGCTTGCGTGGGTCTCAGCCCATCCTCTGTGCCCCTGCCCAGCCCCTTCTGCCACAGCCCCTGTTCCATCTGCCAGCAGCTCCATTCCCGCTGCCCCACTACTCCCATGTATTGAAGGCACTGGCCCTGCAGGCACCTGCTGACAGCTCGGAGCAATTGGGGCTGGCACCAGCAGCAGGTGCAAGTAGGGCAAGCAACGTCAGCAGGTATGAGCGATGGCTACTGCCCCTCAGGAGCAGGGAGAGGTGGAGAAGCTCTCAGGGGCGATCTGGATCATCAGCCATCACTTGCACCTGGTGACAGCACTGGCAACACGTGCGAGTGGTGTCTTTAACAACAGCAGCGGGTGTGAGCGGGGCGGTGCTGGCAACAGGTTCAAGCTGTAAACGGGACCGTGGTGCATGGGAGCAAAGAGTTTTCAGTCACCACCAAAGGCTCACCCCAATGACAGCGACTGGTGCTCCACCTTGGTCTGGCACTTCAGCTCACCTGTTTCACCATCCCACTGCTGCCAACTCCCGCCATGTTCCGTGCGTGCCCCATGGTGGTCAGTGCATGTCATAGCAACCAGTTGTTTGGTTGTTCCTTCGTTTGGTCTATTTGCATATTAGCCTTTTATTATATAGGATTAGTTGTCAATATTTAACAATACAACTACTAAAAAAAAAACTTTAAAAATGGGTACTCTGGCAACTCGGGGCTTGTTCTTCCTATTAGATGTAACCCTGTTATGCTTGTCCTACAGCACTTTGCATGTATGACTTCCTTGGCCCTTGTGGAAGGGCCAAGGAAGTCATACATGCTACCCATAGTCTGGAGCATTGTCAAATATCTCATTTTCTCCAGAATAACTCTCAAATTCTTGAAGGACAACTGGTTTTTCTTCCAGCTCTATTTCATCTGAAATTTTACAAACATATTTTATATTTCTTTGTCATTATGTTGCTGACTTCAAAATATAAAAAACAAGATACTACTCTCAAATAAAACCCCACCCACCTTGTCCAGCCTGATGTGGAAATAATCAGCATGCTTTAAGCCAGGGGTAGAAAAATCAGGCCCATGTGCCATATAAGGCTCTCAAAATCATTTATTCTGGCCCTACCAAGGCCTTAAAGAGGGAGAGTTAGTTCAATGTTCGACCACATAATATAGCAGGATAATTTTTAAGTTGGTAATTTTGTATGACCCGTGAATGATGTTATAAATATCCCAATTGCTCTTGGCAGGAAAAAGGCTCCCCACCCCTGCCAGCTCACACTCTGTGCACTGATAGCATCCTTTAGCTATATTTATAGCTGATTAAAGACTTTAGCCTGATGGAATTAGTATCTTGCCTGCGTTCCATCATTCTAACCCATAGCAAGATTAACTTACAATGATCAGAGTTCCCTTTAAACTCTGTTGCCAAGTCAAAAGTGTTTCTGAAAGGTTTGGTGTGCCCTTGTAGAAGGTCCTCCACATTGTGCCAAACAGCTCTTACTACTGCCACATAAAGATGTTCTCAAGACCTATCTTTGTTTGTGGTTTCCTGATACTAGTCACAGCACTTCCTCCTGTAGCCCATCAAAAAACGGGTGTGGTGCAGGTGTGAAAACAAGCCCCAGTGCATGTGGACTGAGCATAACTGCAAGGCTTCTTGGCCTCCAGCGCAGTCATGAACATCTTATTTCTATCTCTTACTTTTAGTTACTTTTTCTTTTTTATTTAAAAAAATATGATAAAATTTATGCCACAGTAAGGATTTCCAACAGTAGAAGGAAGTGTACATAGAAAAGTCATTTTCTTGCTCCAAAGTCCTGCTCCCAGGAGTTTATCATTCTAGAAGTGTGCTATCTATAGGTAATCCTAATTATGTTTCATTTAAAAACATCCATGTCTTTTCACGTTAGCACATTCAGACCTGCTAAGTCTTTAAGACTAAATGATTGACTTAATTAACTGCCTATAGGTGGACACTTTGATTGATCCCAGTATTTTATACACAGCATCTTTATATATTTTTAATTGATTTTTTACAGAGAGGAAGAGAGAGGGATAGAATTAAAAACATCGATGAGAGAGAATCATCGATCAGCTGCCTCTTACACACCCCCTACTGGGGATGTGCCCGCAACCAAGGTACATGCCCTTGACCGCAATCGAGATCGGAATCAAACCTGGGATCTTTCAAATCCCCAAGCCGACGCTCTATCCACTGAGCCAAACTGGTTTCGGCATATACACAGCATCTTTACATACTGGCACACTGAATGGGAGGATATGTCTTTTAAAAAAAATATATTTTATTGATTTTTTTACAGAGAAGAAAGGAGAGGGATAGAGAGTTAGAAATATCGATGAGAGAGAAACCTCTATCAGCTGCCTCCTGCACACTCCCTACTGGGGATGTGCCCTCAACCAAGGTACATGCCCTTGACCAGAATCGAACCTGGGACCCTTGAGTCTGCAGGCCGACGAACCAAACTGGTTAGGGTGGGAGGATATGTCTTAAAGTACAGAGCCCAGAACAGTGCCTCTGACCAAGATTAAATGGGATGCAGTTTTTCTGCTGACTAATACTTAGTGAGGATAGAGGGTGAAGGGATCTTTAAAAATGAGATATTTATAATAAGGGGAAAATAATAAAGTTTTTTCAATTAAAAAAAAATTATTTCTTAACTTTACTTTTTCAATGACAGTTTACATCCACTATTATTTTGTATTAGGGTATATCTATTACAGAGAGAGGGCAAAGAGTAATATTAAAATATTTCCTCTAATTAATCCCCTTTTAATGAGCACAAATTTCATGCACCGGGCCACTAGTGGTCATTATAATATTATTAACTATACTAGAGGCCCAGGGCACAACATTCATGCACTGCGGGGAGGGTCCCCCTCAGCCTGGCCTGTATCCTCTCACAGTCTGGGAGCCATCAGACAGACATCCTTAGTGCTGCTGTGGAGGCAGAAGAGGCTCCTGCCACTGCCACTGCCACTGCCACTGCCACTATGCTCACCAGCTGTGAGCCCAGCTCAGGGCTTCTGGCTGAGTGGCACCCCCCCCAGTGGGAGCACAATGACCACCAGGGAGCAGTTTCGGCATTAAGCATCTGCCCCTTGGTGGTCAGTGTGCATCATAGCAAGCGGTGGTTGCGCAGTTCAGTCTATTTGCATATTAGCCTTTTATTATATAGGATTCCCTATTCTGTACTTTATATCCCTGTGACTGTTTTGTAACTAACTACCAATCTGTACTTTTAAATTCCTTCATCTTTTTCTTCCAGCCCCTCAACCCCCTTCCTCTCTAGCAACCATCAGCCTGTTCTCTGTATCTATGAGTCTTTTTCCATTTTGTTTGTTCATTTATTTTGTTCTTATATTCCACATATAAATGAAATCATATGGTATTTGTCTTTCTCTGACTTTTTTCACTTAGCCTAATACCATCCACACGGTTGTAAATGGTAAAATTTCATCTTTTTATGGCCAAGTAATACTCCATACGTACCACTGCTTTTTTATCCAATCATTTATCAGTGGGTATTTGTGTTGCTTCCATATCTTGGCTATTGTAAATAACACTACAGTGAACATGAGGTGCATAGATTCCTTCGAATTAGTGTTTTGGGTTTCTTTGTATACCCAGCAGTAGAATCACTGAGTTGTAAAAAAGTCCCATTTTTAATTTTTTAAGGACCCTCCATACTGTTTTTCCATAGTGGCTGTACTAATCCGCATTCCTACCAACAGTGCACAAGGGTTTTCTTTTCTCCACATCCTCGCCAACACTTGGAGTTTGTTGATGTATTGATGATAGCCATTTTGACAGAGCAAAGTGGTATCTCATTGTGCATTAACTTGTATTTCTCCAGTTATTAGTGACGTTGAACACTTTTCCATATGTCTCTTGGCCATCTCTATGTCCTCTTTGAAAGAGTTAATTTTTTTTTAAGATATATTTTTTATATATATATTTTATTGATTTTTTACAGAGAGGAGGAGAGAGGGATAGAGAGCTAGAAACGTCAATGAGAGAGAAACATCGAGCAGCTGCCTCTTGCACACCCCCTACTGGGGATGTGCCCACAACCAACGTACATGCCCCTGACTGGAATCAAACCCGGGACCTTTCAGTCCCTAAGCCGACGCTCTATCCATTGAGCCAAACCGGTTTCGGCAGAAAGAGTTAATTTTTAAGAGACTGTGTAGTATGTGCTCATTTTGTTTAAATGGAAATATGTGTTACACATACATAGAAAAGAGATGAAGGAATATACATCAAAATACTAAAAATAGTTTGGATGATTTAACAGGTTACTTTTTTTATATGTATTTCTAAGTAATGATGATATGATACTTTTACAGCACTTACCACATGCAACATACTCTTTTAAGTGTTCTGCATATATTACATGTATTACATATATGACATATATGTAACTCTGACATGAACTAATCTTCTAAATTTTTATAATAAAAAAGTGGTAACTTTTTTCATGATAAAAAATCACTTGAAAAAAGATAATAGAGATATAAACATCATTTAGAATTATGGAAGTAATTAGTAGAACTAAAAGCAGACTAAAGCTTCTTCATAAACTCTTATTGATATTGAATTTGTTGGTATGAGCATGTACTCATTTGATTTAAATAATAGTAAATATGCATGAGAAATAATACTTGTGCTTAACAAATTTTTCCAGTATTTCACTCAATTTTGAATTTGAATTCCACAGTGAAATGCAAAGAAAACATAATTTGTTTTTAATCTGTGGTTTAGCCAAACAAAATAATTTTGTTTTACCCAGTAACATACATTCTACCAAAATATCCTTACTGGTCCAATTAGCATATTCCCCTTTTATTAGTATAGACAGGCTATCACAGAAAAAGTTTTTGGTCTTAAAAAGATCTCACAACTGCTGAAGCCAGTTTGGCTCAGTGGTAGAGCATTGGTCTGCGGACTGAAAGGTCTCAGGTTTGATTCCGGCCAAGGGCATGTACATTGGTTGCGGGCACATCCCTGGTAGGAGGTGTGCAAGAGGCAGCTGGTCAATGTTTCTCTCTCATCGACGTTTCTAGCTTTCTATCTCCCTTCCTCTCTGTAAAAAATCAATAAAAGTATATTTATAAAAAAAAAAAAAAAAGATCTCACAACTTTTGTAGAGCAGGCGGAGCACACACGATATGGCTAACTTAGATGTATCTTTCCACATTGCAGATCTGTCCAGCTCAACGACAAAACTCTGAAGATGGTGGATGACCAAACCCTGCCAGCTTTGACAGAAAAGCCGCTCAGCCCAGGAAGTCCACTGAGCCTGCCAGCTTTCTCCTATGGGTTTTTTGTGATAAGAAATGCCAGAGTTGCTGCTTGCCTCTGAAAATGAATGGCATACCATAGCCTTGAGATTGAATCTTTCAAGTGTATTAAGAAGAGGAAAGCAAAAACTCAAGCTACAGGAAAGCAAGCAAATTCCCTACAAATCAACCAGTGGGAGCTGCAGAGACAGGGACACTCAGGCTGGACTTAGCACAGCATTTCTTCTCCTTAAGGAAACCACTGACACCTTGTGCCAAACACTATTCTTGTACTTTACGTGTGGCGTTTTTATTTAAGGTTATTACAAATGTATATAAATGTTTCTAATACAGCCAGGAGGCAAGTAAGTGAAGGATATATTATTCCATTTAAGAAAGTGCTTAGTTGTTTTTATTTTCAAAAACAGTTACTAGAAGATTGTCAGAGTCTTTCCTGCATATGCTGTTTCCATGGGCTTCCATCAGAAACAGTGTACTACCATAACCTCCCAATTGCCTATAAAAGAGAGATGATCTCTTTGCACCTTGATAAAGAGCTGGAATCAGTCACTGCTTCTCTTTATTCTGTTTGTCTTTGTCAACAATCCTATGTGAGAAGACAGATAGTGAATGTGATCATATTAAAAAATTATTAATGACAATAATTTTGACAGGTATTATGTAAGATTGAAATGAAATAAAAAAAATAACTATAAGGGAAATTGATTTGCCTAGAGGAGGAAATTTAGTTAAATACGTTATCACCGTCTGTTAATGTTTATTTCTGTTACTCTTTTTCCCCCACCTTTAGTTCTTATTTTAGTTGGGGAGCTTTTGGCTGCAAGGAACAGAAAACCCTGATTGTAATGGGTTAAACAATAAGGACATTTATCATCCCAAATCACAAGAAGTAGAAACAGGGAGAACTCCATAGCTCTGGAAAGAACCAGGCTCTTTCCATCTCTGCTCTGCTACCTTTAATATTGACTTCATTCTCAGCTGGTGGCATGATGGCTGTAGCTATCCCATGGGCCCATGGAGACCTGGCAGCGTCCAGTGAAAGAAGATGAGCAGTTTTTCTGTGTCTCCATCACAGACTTTGAGAACGCTTTCACAGAGGCTCTCCCAGCAAACCTCTCCTGTGTCTCCTCACGTCTTACTATTGGTCAGGAATGGACCACGAGGCCATTCTCCCAGTCACTGCCAACATAACTGAGATTCCTATAATTCCTATAGTCTGCCACTAATCTTTGGGAATGGAGCGGGTGTTGGGAAGCCCATGGCACTGACCACTACAGTTCTGTACTTTTATCCGTGACTGGATGTATTACTTTCTCCTGTATCTTAATTTTTGGAAAGGCAATCCTCTTCATATTTATGCCAACTATGAAAAAATATTGTTTCAATTAAATTTAATCACACTTATGAGGAGCTAAAGCTGGAACTTAAAGTCGGATGGCTTAAATACCCTTACGTTTTGTATGTATTGTGGTTTTTATATTTTCACAGTTGAAATAAAACAATTTTTGTAATCTCAGTATTGCATAATTATTCTTTTAATAAAGCATAAGCCCACATTTGGAAGCCTTGTTTTTCTCCACTGCATTGCTTACACCACCCATCCTGACTTGTCCCTTTAGTCTCTCTAACACCCAAAGAAGTGACCTTGACACAAAGAGCTCACCAGGCATAAACACTATTTCCTCTCTTATCATGCAGATTCAGTGTTAAAGTTTTCTGCTTTTTCACCTATCCCTTTGGCCACCTCATAAAGTCAGGGTCTAGTTTTTCATTTGTATAAGCATTATCATTTCCTAACTGCTCTCCCTAACTTTCCCCATTTCTTATAGGCACAAAAGGTCCTCCATAACCTGTCACCTGCTTATTTCTTTTTGTTGTGTTGTTTTGGTTTTTATTTTTACTTATTTTCTTATAAAATTTTTTTAAATCTTTATTGTTGAAAGTATTACATATGTTCCCTGCTTTTCACCTGCCTATGCCTATTTCTTCAGCCTCCACTCTTTTCATTCTCCCACAAACTCTATTCTCCACCCACACACTGGTTTAGAAGTCTGAACATACAGCCCCTTCCACCTTTGGCTAAAAGATCACTAAAGACAACTAAAGTCGCCGAAACCGGTTTGGCTCAGTGGATAGAGCCTGCGGACTGAAAGGTCTCAGGTTCGATTCCAGTCAAGGGCATGTACCTTGGTTGTGGGCACATCCCCAGTGGGGGTTGGGGGGTGTGCAAGAGACAACTGATTGATGTTTCTCATTGATGTTTCTAATTCTATCACTCTCTTCCCCTCTGTAAAAAAATCAATAAAATATATTTTTTTAAAAGACAACTAGAGTCAAAACTAGTTCTTCATTCCACTACCATTTATTTTTAGTTTTCAATATTCCTGCTTTTATTTTGAATTGTCAGATACACAGATATAGATAGAAGGGTAGGTAGGTAGCTATAGGTAGTCCAATAGTATGTGACTTATTTTAAGGAATTGATTGGCTATTATGGAGTCTAACAATTTGTGGTATTTGTGGTAACAAGTCCAAAATTTGCAGGGTAGGCCAGGAGACTAGAGACCCAGGTAGAGCTGATGTTGTAGTTTAAGTCTGAAGTTCATTTGCTGGCAAATTCCCTCTGGCTTGAAGGAGTTCAGTCTTCTGTTCTATTCAGGCCTTCAACTGATTGGAGAGGCCCACCCATATTATGGAGGACAATCTGCTTTACTCAAAGTTCATATTAATCTCACCCAAAAACATCCTCACAGAAACATCTGGAACAGTACTTGACCAAACATCTGGGCACCGTAACTCAGCCAAAGTGACATAAAATTAACCGCCCCAGTACCTGGGGATGATAACTTTTGAAAAAGCAAACAGAATCCCTTCCCCCAGAGACTCACGATACAGGGTGAGGTATTGGAGTCTTATAGGTCCTTTGAGGAAGAATCTAGTTTCTTTTCCTGAAGAGTTTACAGCAGTTGAGTGCCTTGCCCAAAAGCATAGAGTGTGAACATTGTTTCAGGTTGAACTATTATAAGTCGGGGGCCATCTTTGTCAGTGTGCGCCCTGAGCATAGGAATTTTTCTCCTTGATACACCCTGTGCTAAGCACAGTGCTTTCATGAAGCAAGAATTCAAGAAATATTTTGTTAAAATAATTATTTACAATCTCTAAAGAGTTTATAATCAAAATGAGAAAAACATAAATTTGTAGATACAAAGGAAAATTAAAGCCCATAAAAGATATAAAACAGTTCTATTAGTGTTTTAGGAGAGTAAAGCATATAGTAGAAGGATTGTGTCTACAATTCCAAATACCATGGGGGTGCTAATGGGAAAACAATGCTCAAACAAAACAGCACTCAAAAACTCAGCTCTCACCTTCGTCTTCCAAAACAATTCAGCTCCAAGGCTCTTTCTCTTATTACACACACACACACACACACACACACACACACACACACACACACACACACACAAACACACACACACACAAAACACTCTGATGACCAGTCTAAAGATTGCCCTCAAGCAATGAGCCCAACAAGGAAGCTAAAGAGGCCTAGTTCCACATAAGGGAACTCCTATTCATGTGACAATTTCAGGACCAAGTCTGGGGCTATCCCTTCTGCATTAAGCTACAGGGCCACTCTGCAAGTTACAGTTGTCTCTTGTAACAAGATAACATAAGCATTCTTCCTCTAAGTTTACATATTCTAAAAATAATGAAAAGGAAATAAAAAGGTGGAATGTTTCCCTCAAAGATGAAATCTTTCTCTCCAAATCTATAGAAAAACACATTTGAGGGGCTTCCAAAAGTCTAAGAGTCACACACATGGTATTTTCCACTTTGGGGATAGAAACTCTTCTTTCCAAATGTCAGGGCAATGTCTCATTGAGTTGGAAGTTTGAGATGTCTTTGTTGAGTTTGAGAATTCAGATGAAAAAGACATGAAACTGTTAAAATATACACAGGCATTTTAAACACTTTAAGACTTTATTTAAGCATGCATCTACTTGGATAGGGCGGTGTCAAATTAGAAGTATTAGGACTGCTCTGCAGACAGGGGCTAGGGAAAAGATTAATATAGAGAAAGCACGGAAGCAAAGAAGGGAAATGCTTTAATTGAATATAGCTTAAAGTCTAGTTGGCTACTTGTGATTGGTGGTCCTTAGCATTCTGATTGCATGCCTTTGAGACATTTACAGGCATAGGTTTGCTTATGTAGGCTGCCAGGGCATTGGAGCCATAGCCTAATAAGCTTCCTTGTTTAATTAATTTAACAACACAAATGGATGAAGATGACTAGATGACAAGGAGGCCCCTCTAGTGAAATGCAAACATTGAACTGGAACACATGGTTTTTCCTTTGGGCAGAATGCAACGGTGAATTCCCGGGTTCTTGATGGATTTGAAGAATGAAGCCACAGACAAAAGGTGATAGGTGGAAAGTACAGAGATTTTAATTGCAAGCAGACACTGCCTCTGAAACCTAATTTTAAATTCTAAGCCTAAGACTCTGTCTCTCCTGGCTCACGGATGTGAGAGGGGGCAGGCTGGGCTGAGGAACCCAGCTCCAGTGCATGAATTTTCATGCACCAGGCCTCTATTCTATAATAATAAAATAAAAAAAGCATAAAATGCAAATTGACCGAATGGCTGAACAGTGGAACAACCTTACAGATGACCACACTATAACACCCACTGGCACCAGGCCGGCCAAGACAGGTGCATTGTGATTGGTCGAGGGTCCAGCCATCACCCCATGAACTGAGTTAAATCAGAGGCCACCCAGGTGGTGTCACAACTGCTTCATAGGTGGAAAACCTACACATCTGATGTCAGAGTAGAGAGGTGTTGTAGAGAATATTAAGAGTAGAGGAAACACAGAAAAAAGTGTGTAGTTTTTTCCTTTACCGTAAGGTGACCTGCTTTGGTAGGGACAGTCCCAATTTTTAACAATTTGTCCCTGGTCCTGCAGCGTTTTAAAAAAGTCCCGATTTTTTTAAAGAATGCACAACAAGCTAGGGGATGGCAGGAGGGAATATATGGTTTTTGACGGCCAGGATATGGTTTTATATTATTTTTGCTAAATGTTAAATTTATGTGAAATGTGAAAATATGGTTTTATTTAGCCAGGATATGAGTTTTATATTATTTTTGCTAAATGTTAAATTTATAATGTTAAACTTTAATAATAACAAATAATTGTTGAAAACTGATTATCGAGAACTGCCTATCAAAGTTCGCATTGTTGGTCAGTTGTTAGAATTGTGGAATACGCGCTTACCAGGAACTACTGCTGCGGCTGAACGTGTTTTTTTTCCTACGGTAAATAAAGCGTGGACATCAGAAAAATCACAATTAAGTGTTGAGAATTTGAAAGCCATTTTATGTGCGAAGTATAATTTAACAAATTCTTGTGAAAATCTTCATGACCTTTTAAACAACGACAGCAATCTACTAAAAAAAAAAAAAAAAAGAATTCACTCAAATGAGAAATATGCCCAAGAATAAAATAATACTATATTTTTTATTTATTATATTTGTAAATTGTACTTAGGTTGAAATTAAAATATATATATCACAATACTATTTTTGCATTCTATGAAAATTTTTGTTGCTCCGTATAGACCAAATTTTTAATCAACACCCCCTCCACCCCCACCCCCCGTCAATGGTGTCCCGCTTCACCAATGTTAACATCTGGTCACCTCAGTTTTATGCATGTGCTGTTTGTTTTGCTATAACCGTTCCGAACGAGTAAGCACTCTCGCATTTACTGAGAAAGCTGATGACGGGAATACCTTTTACGCTGAGTATCTGGGGGACCCCCTTGCAGGCTAAAGGGACCAACATCACTCTTACGTCACGTCACTCAAAAGGCTCCGGCCCCGCCCCTGCCCGGACGGGACAGGACGGACCCGAGGGCCTCTCGATGACGTCACCACGCATGCCAACCCGTGACCCGACGCCCGGGGGGTGACGTCAGGCCCGCGCGCACCACGCTCCCCCACGCCATGCTGGGCGCCCGCGGCGCGGGGCTCGCGCGGGGCCTGCGGGCCGTGGCGCTGGCGTGGCCGTGGGGCGCGCGCGGCCGCTCCCTGGCCCTGGCGCGCGCGGCCGGGGCGCCCCGCCGCCGGGACCCCGGGGACCGGCCGCCCTCCTCCGCGGGGCCGGCCCCGCTCCGGCGCCGGCTCAGCCTGTCGGCCGCGGCGGTGGTGGCCTCGGCGCCTCGCCCCCTGCGGCCCTACCTGCGCCTCATGCGGCTGGACAAGCCCATCGGTGAGTGCGGGGCGCGCGGGCGGCGCGGGGCCGGACGGGCAGCTCCTCCGCCGCCGGGACGTGGCCGCCCCGGGCGCGGGGACCCGGAGACGCCCGAACCCCGCGACCTCAGAGGGGCGTGACCTGCCGCCTCCGTGCCCCGCTGAGCCCGGAGCCTCTGAGCCGGGCCGAACGTCCGCTCCCTCCACAGCCGCGGTGAGAGGGTGATGGAGCAGAAACCCGGCCGTGTCCCGCCTCGCACAGATTTGGTGGTGTAGCACTTGCACTTCTTTAAAAATGTGTATTGATTTTTTTACAGAGAGGAAGAGAGAGGGATAGAGAGTTAGAGACATCGATAAGAGAGAATCATTGATCAGCTGCCTCCTGCACACTCCCCAATGGGGATGTGCCCGCAACCAAGGCTCATGCCCTGGACCGCAATCGAACACGGGACCTTTCAGTCCGCAGGCCGAGGCTCTATCCATTGAGCCAAACCAGTTTCGCCAGCACTTGCACTTTTATGTTGGATCCTTCCCGCAGTCCTTGAAGGCAAATAAGCCCATAATGATGTTGAAGAACGAAGGCTCTCCTGCAGAGCAGAGGAAGGCAGTGTTGATGCCAGGGTTCTAGCTCTTTGCCCTCCACCACCCTCGACACAAGTTTAGTTCATGTGTGCCCGCTGGTGTAGCTCAATGGTTGAGCAGGACCCATGAGCCAAGAGGTCGCTGGTTTGATCCCCGGTTAGGGCACATGCCCAGGTTGTGGATTCGATCTTGGGGTGGGGGGGAGGGTGCAGGAGGCAGCTGACAGATGATTCTCATTGATGTTTCTATATATTCCTTCTTTCTAATTTCAGTTTTTAAAGGCGTTTTTAAAAGATTTAATTCATCTGAATGCAGTGTGTACTGCACTTAGGAACAAACTGCCTGTCACATCACAGTCGCCTCTGAGGCTCTCCCTGCCCTTCCTGTTTAAAAGACCACCCACTACCTCGCTCTCTACCCCTTCACCCCATTTTTTGTTTTTGTAGTATTCCCCATTAACAAACCGTATGCATTTATTGGTTTATTGACTTCTCCAATACAATGTAAGCTCCACATAAATGGGATTTTTAAAATCTATATCCTAGAACAGAGCTTGGCAGTAGCATTGAATGAATTGTTAAATTCCCACAATAACTCGTAGCTTTAGAGACAGAAAGAGCTATGGAAACTCTCAAGGAATTCCTAGTCTAGTTGAAAAAGCTGATATAAGTGATACAGATAGTAAGTACATCAAGAAAGATCAGTAATTACTGTGGACCTTCATGTTGGAAAAAGTCAAGTATTATAGAAAGTGTAACTGAGGACAGGTAGATTTTGCAGAGGAGGGTAGAGCTTGATTGGTGGGGGAAATATTATTGCAAAATCCTCAAGATAGAGTGTTGTTGGCACACTAACAATATAATATAAGCCGACCAGGAACCCTACATGGGGGTAGAAAATAGTGGGAGTACCGTTTGGTTAAGAGCTGGACTGAGAAAGGATGGACACTGGTGAGAGCAGAATAGAGGCTAAAATCCAGGTAAACTAGAATCTAGATGATGGCAGGGCATAGAAATACATTCAAATGTGTAGCTACATTTTTTTCCACCTTTGCCCAGCCACAAACCCCAGGTTAAGCCTTGTTTTTGGAATTCTAGATTTATGCACTATGTATTTGGGATCACAGTACTAAAGAATTTCTAGCAATCAGCAATTACAGTATACGGGCAAAATAAATGATAGGCACAGCCTTGCATGTTAGGGCCAGATACAAGTTGATAAGCATAAATTTCCAAGCCCATTTCTAATCTGAAGCCTAATTTATAATTCTGTTCTTTGAGTCTGTGTCACAGAGCATCAGTGTAAGCATCCAAGACAGATCAACAGCTACTACTACTCCCATTTCCATAAACCTCTAGCTTCTTTTACTTTAATTGCCTAGACCTGTGGTCTGCAAACAGCGGCTCAAGAGCCACATTTGGCTCTTTGGTCCCTTGAGTGTGGCACTTCCACAAAATACCACAGCCTGCGTGAGTCTATTTTGAAGAAGTGGCATTAGAAGAAGTTTAAGTTTTAAAAATTTAGCTCTCAAAAGAAATTTCAACCGTTGTATTGTTGATATTTGGCTCTGTTGACTAATGAGTTTGCCGACCACTGGCCTAGACCAACCCAGAATAAGAGATTATAAAGGGGTTGTTATGCATAAAGTTCTGGAGCCAGACCTCTTAGGTTTGAATCTTCACTCTGGCCATTTAAAGGACCCCAATTAAGTTACTTTACCCCTCTGAGCCTTCATTTCTCATTTATAAAATGAAGATACTAATAATACTGACTTTATAAAGTTGTCATAAGAACTCATTACTACGTGTCAAACCTTTAGAACAGTGCCTAACATAATTAGCCTTTATTACTTGAGAAGTGGGAATGGAGAAGTTTGGGGAATACTTATGTTGAGAAGAGACCAGCCTGCATGCTTCAGTTCTAAATAAGGTGATGATTGCAAGATTTTAAGATAACTTATTAGTAGTTCTCTGTGTTACAGTTCATTCAACAAACATTATTTGAGCCCCTATGTGTATGCCAGGAACATTAAGTTGGTAGTGGTAGAATCCAGGTTTGATATTTCTTTATTGAAATTCTTTTATGGGGTAATTTTATGTTCATTGTTTTACTTTGTTGAAGCTTGATCTTGTTGCTCTTCATAAATGAAAATGTGTTTTACTGTTTTTCAGAATGGATTATTCTTTCAAATGGGTCACAAACTATGTTGTTTTAGGAAGTTTCAGCAGGTGGCACTCTTCCATTAAATTGGTGGTGTAGTTTTTTACTGCATTTAAGGGTGATTATGTTGTCTTAAAGATAAGGTGTAATTTGTGAATGACTCTTGTTAGAGTCCATTAGGCTCCTTTGTCTTTCCATCACATGCCAAAACTTGATCGTTTTATTTAATCTCCCAGAGAGGTTTTCCTTTTTCTGTAATAAACTTTTTTTTTTTTTTTCCAGAAATGTACCTGGGTATAATAAGAATAGTACCTATCTCGTAGGTTTGTTATTCCCTGTGCTGTGACTGGGAATCAAACCATGACCTTCCTGGTTCATAGGTATACTCTCAACTACTGAGCCACACCGGCTGGCAGGATCTGATCTTTCTTTAATCACATGTCTTGTTTCTCTTATATTGTTAAATATGGAAGGAAAACTCAGAATGTGTCTTCAAAGTACCATATCTAAACACTTGTTGAAAGATTTTCTTTTGAAAGTAAGATAACTATTAAAGTTCATGTGTAAAATCTCTTATTCATATGACACCTTATTTATGGTTTAACTTTCTATGGTTTCAGTTACCCTCAGTCAACTGTGGTCTGAAAATATCAAATAGAAAATTCCAACCCTGGCCAGCGTGGGCACTGTCCCATGTACCAAAGGGTTGCTGGTAATGCTTGCATATGATACAAAATTCTGAAGGTACAGAAGTGTAGAGTGAAAACTAAGTCTTTCAGCCAATCAGTTCCCTCCCCCAAGATGAGTTTCTAAGATAGCTTTTCTGACATGGTCTGTAAACAAACTAACATTCAAATGTATGTACTTGTTTTATGTGTGTGTGCATGTATACACACACGCGTATTAAAAATTTTCAAGTTGTCCATAAGAGTTGGACCATTTTGTAACTTCATCAGAAATATAGTATTTGACTCTACAAGTCAGACTTTGGGTTTTGCCATTCTGATGGGTGAAAAATGTTACATCAGTGTAATTTAAATATATAGTTCTCAAAGTTCATTATTTTTTCATATGTATAAGAGCCATTTGTATTTCTTTCTGAATAGTCCTTTGTGTTATGAGTTGCAAATTAATCGTCTCATTCCTGCCGCCCCCATATTTTAAGAAAATATTTTTATTGATTTTTAGAGAGAAGGAAAGGAGAGGAAAGAGAGAGAAACATCTATGTGAGAGCATAACATCAGTTGCACACACCCTACTGGGGATTGAGCCTGCAACCAGGGCATATGCACTGACCGGGAATTGGACTAGCAACCTTTTGGATGCCCCAACCAACTGAGCCACACCAACTAGAGCTATTGTCCCAGTTTTGTCATGTTTTTGAGTTTGTCTTTTTTACTTTGGGTTGTGATGTTTAAAAAATGAAAACAGTTAACCAACTTGAATTTGAACCTTTTTGTCTTTTTATGTTTGCTTAGGAACATGGCTGTTGTATCTGCCATGTACCTGGAGCATAGGGTTGGCAGCTGAACCGGGCAGTTTTCCAGATTGGTACATGTTATCCCTCTTCGGCACTGGAGCTGTTCTGATGCGTGGAGCAGGCTGTACTATCAATGACATGTGGGACCGGGACTACGATAAAAAGGCACGTTTCGTCATCAAAAAGAACAGAGAGGCGCCTCTAAATTCCGCAGAGTAACATGTTTCTTTCCCACATGATAATAGCCTTATTTAACATGCACTGCAATTTTTTCCTGAGAATTCATATTATTGTTTCTCTCTTCCCTATGGAAATTGAACATACACTTGCAAATTACTAGATAAGGAAGTCGCTTTGTTTTATTTGCTTAGAGATGGGGATGGGAGACAGAAGGAGAATGAGTGGTGGGGAATTTTTGTTCTTTTCAAAACTACTTTAAAATACCAATTTTTAATTTTTGGCAGTATTTCCAATGTTGACTTTACTTTTTATTCATGTTTCTGCCTCAGTGCTTACCATAGATCAGTCGCTTGTTGAAATGTTTAAATAAATGATTGAGCCATTGTGTGAGGCTAAGGTATCTATTTTTATGCATTAAGGTTACCAGAACAGCAAGCCGCCCAATAGCTGCTGGAGACATTTCAACTTTTCAGTCCTTCGTTTTTCTCGGGGGACAGCTGACCCTGGCACTGGGGGTTCTTCTGTGTCTGAATTACTACAGGTATAGTAGATGTGCTTTTCATAATCATATGTAAAATATCTCCTTTGAAATGGAGAAAATAGAAGTAAAATAAAATTGAAATATTTTTATCATAAAGCTGTTTATTGGCTACCTATTGAGCATCTGTAAGTTAGCAAATATAAATAAATCACCACACATTGTCAAATCAAGTATGTTTTCATCCAAAGGAATTAAGGTAAGAGAGCAGTATTTAATTATCCTGAGTCACATACTCTGGTTTCTCTTCAGATCGTATAAATCTTTCGCCTTTTAATTTATCCTGAGTCACCTTTAGTGCATGTTCCTAAGGTTCACAAGGCACTTTATAGGTTTTCTAGGTGCCTGTATGTGTGTGTGTATACTTGTTTATACAGGGATGAGCAAAAGTAGATTTAAAGTTGTTCACACAAGAAATAATACAATAATTAATAAATAATACAAGAATAAACTTTCATGTACTCACAATTGTAAACCTACTTTTTCCCACCCCTGCATAATTTTGTTTCAAGGTCTCTGAAGTAGATAGAAGCAGAAGTGGTTATAATTCAGTGTCTCTGAAGTAGATAGAAGCAGAAGTGATTGTACTCATTATGCAAAAAGAGGAAATGGTCTTTCCCAGGGTTAAGTTCCTAATCCATGATAGATGAAAAAAGTGGAAGGACTCATTTCTGTATCTCAAACACAGACAGAATTAAACTTCTGTGCATTAGATGGCTATTTACAAAGTGCTTCAATAAGAGAAAAAAGAGGTCACCAAACAAGCATTATTTTATAAAGACTAGACTTAATTATATACTAGAGGCCCATTGTACAAAGATTCGTTCAATAGGCCTTCCTTCCCCTGGCTGCTGGCACTGGTTTTCCTCCAGCACCCGGGACCCAAGCCTTCACTCTGGCCAGTGCCTTCCATCTTCACGGAGCCTTTAATCTTTGCTCCCGTCAGAGCACCGCTCCTATAGCTCCCTCCGCTACCCCCCACCCCCTTCCTCCCTGTCATAGCAGGCATCCTGCCTCGCCTGGCCACTCTGTGCCTGCATGCACGCTGCCCAGTGGCCCAGAGCTGCTGGGGGGGGGGGGGTCCACCGCCATATTTGTTGGGTTAATTTGCATACCCACTCCCGATTGGCTTGTGGGTGTTGCAAAGTGACGGATCAGTTTGCATATTTCACTTTTATTAGTGTAGATGTTGCCTTGCTAGCATTACTCACATGAATACTTTGGAAGATTATTCCAGGAGGGGTGGTGTTAGGTGCCCTTTGAAGTACCTAAGAATGGATGTCTTATATTATTATCCTTTAATAGGGCTTTGTGATCTTACCCTCTTCTAGAGAAATAACACCCCATTGTAATGTATGTGGAGGGAGGGATATCTTGACTCTGATTCTCTGTTAGGACATCTGTTTCTAACTGTCTTAATGTTTAAATATAAAATTTAGAGAAGCAGTGGCATGTGGTAATAAGTTGGACTTGAAGTCAACCTACGTTATGTTTGAATTATAGCGCTCCTACTGACTAGCTGTATGACAATTACTTAGTCTCTTTTTTAAAAAATACTTTTATTGATTTCAGAGAGGAAGGGAGACGGGGAGAGAGATATAAACATCAATGATGAGAGAATCATTAATTGGCTGCCTTCTGCACACCCCCTACTGGGGATTAAGCCCAGAACCCGGACATGTGCCCTTCAGTCTGCAGGCCAATGCTTTATCCACTGAGCCAAACCAGCTAGGGCTACTTAATCTCTTTGAGCTTTAATTTCCTCATCTGCAAAACAACAAGTAGAATTAATCTATCTGCCTCTTAAGGTTGTGGTGATGATTATAATGAGGTAACATTTGTAAAGCAGTTAGAGCAGTGCCTAACATATGAAAGCACTACATGTGTTAGCTGTTGTTATTGTTTGGTTATTTTGTAACACTTAAAGTATTTTTAATCATACTTTATCCTTATCAAAGTCCAGGAAGATAATTTTACATAACAAAAAATATAATTTTTAAGATAATTTACTTTACCAATTAGTGTTACTCTCATCTTATTTAGTGATTTGTAAGAGATGGTGATAATCTTTCTAATGGTTTTTCTTGATTTCAGTATAGCTCTTGGAGCAGCATCCCTACTTCTTGTCATCACCTATCCACTAATGAAAAGAATTACTTACTGGCCTCAATTAGTCTTGGGTGAGCTTGATTAACTGTTAATATTTCCTGTGATACCCCAAACTATACTTTTAGATATAATATACATGCATACATACATGTACAATGTGACAGATAAAATATCGTCAGTCCTGAAATTTTCCAAACCAAGAAACATTGATAGATTGCTTCCCATATGCATCCTGACTGGGGATAGAACCTGCAACCTATATGTGTGCCCTGACCAGGAATCGAACCTGCAACCTTCTGGTGCACAGAACAATGTTCCAGCCAACTGAGCCACACCAGCCAGGGCAGATTTTCATATTTTGAAGAAGGACCTTAGCCATTTCTGACATGCTATTACTAAAAAATCTTGAATATTTAATTTTCTGAAATGCTCTTTTAAAAATCTAGTTATGTCATGAAGAAAAGCATTAGCTGCCTTGAGCCCACCTCTCATTAGGTGCCCTGAAGACTTTGGGGACTGGAATAGAAAGCACTCCGAGGAGGAGAACACAGGTTCAAGTGTGTATGACAGCTCAGCCACTTCTCTGGGATCCCTTTCTGTGCAGCCTTCCTTAGACTTCCCTGGGGAAAAGTTATAGCCCACTGGGCTCCCACAGCCCTCTGTCAAGACACTTACTCATTGCAACAGCATCAACTCAGCAAGAAGATACTGAGAGCCTCCTCTGTCTCCCCAGTAATAAATTGTAAGTGCCTGAAGGAGAAAGCATTCATTACATTTGAATGGCTCAGCATTTCACATAGCACTTGACACATCGCAGGAATTCAGTAAATGTTTATTAGTAGAAGGAGAGGTAGATAGGAGGGAGGTAAGTCAAAATCTTTTGCAAAACATTTAGTAGTCTTTTATTCTTAGAATAATCTAAAGAACTAAAACTATTTTAGTTCTTTGAAATCCCCTCCCCCCCCCCCCAAGTAAATGAAAGAAGAACCTAAAGCTACTCCAGAAGTTCATTTGATGCTGACTGCAAAGTTGTGGTGGAATACTCATTTTTTCTAAGATCCTCTCATTCATTGTGTTTCTTTTTATTTAAATACACACACACACACACACACATCATTCTCAACTGATCAGGGACTCCTTAGGTAAAAGGAGGATAAGCATTCCCCATCTATAAGATAATATTAAGAAAGCTGGTATATTTACTACAGATATTTATTGAACCCCTAACTTTTACTTTGTGCCAGCAATCACACCAAGTACTAGGAAAATCGAAGTGACTAAAACACATTCGCCATCTTGATGGAGCCGGAGAAGGGGACAGTGATGAACAGAGCGTTGCAGTATAATGTACTGGCACACACGAGGGCTGCGGGCCCACAGGGGAGAGGTCCTCCGTCAACTGAGGAGAGAGTCCAAGTAGAAACAGGCAACAAGGGAGAAAAGGGGCTTCTGAGAAATTGGGATCCACTGAGTTTGAGGTGGCAGAGGGCCTTGCAGGCGGAGATGTCCGGCAGACAGTCCAGGGGCTAGTCTGAAGACAGAAGGCCCATACAGAGAGATTCAGGAGTCGTCAGCATGTAGTGCTCAGAGAGGGTGGGCTTGTGAAATAAACAAGGGTCCTGTCTATACCCTTCTTTCTGTACCTAGAGGGGAAGTAGAGTGATAATGGAAAGGTCACAGGATTTTAACTCAGTTCTAAGTTCAGGCCCCGGCATCTATTATTTATTGACCATGCCAGGTACCATACTAGGTAGGGTAAATGTTCTCATGAAACCTATGTATTGGGGATATTCTTTCTCTTAGTTGTGTTGTTTTAATTGTTTGTTCGCCTGTCTGAACCTGTTTTCTTTTTCTTTATTTATTTTTTCTTTATTTTTTAAAACATATTTTATTGCCGAGACCGGTTTGGCTCAATGGATAGAACGTCGGCTTGGGAACTGAAGGGTCCCGGGTTCGATTTATTTATAAATAAATAAAAAAAACATGTTATTGATTTTTTACAAAGAGGAAGAGAGATGGATAGAGAGTTAGAAACAACGATGAGAAAGAAACACCGATGAGCTGCCTCCTGCACACCCCCCACTGGGGATGTTCCCGCAACCCAAGGTACATGCCCTTGACCGGAATTGAACCCGGGACCTTTCAGTCCACAGACCGAAGCTCTATCCACTGAGCCAAACTGGTTTCGGCTGAACCTGTTTTCTTTTTTAGAAAATGTAGTGAATAACTACCATAGAGAGCTGAGAGAATTTAAGGAAGAAATGTATTAGAAAACAGCATACACAAAAGCACTTAATATAAGCTGATGTCCCTCTCTCTCCCTTTGGAATTCGCAAGTCCAATTAGACTTTTCCTCTCTCTCTGTTTCATTCCTTGTAGGGTTCACTTTTAATTGGGGAGCACTACTTGGATGGTCTGCTGTGAAAGGCTCCTGTGATCCATATGTTTGCCTGCCTCTTTATTTTTCTGGAATTATGTGGACTCTAATATATGACACTATCTATGCCCATCAGGTAAAGAAACATCCTTTTTCTTTAGCTTAGTTATTTAAAAAAAAAAAACTTTAAGAATCAAACTAAAGGGAAAATATTTTTTTCTAAAAACATCATTCATACTTCCATGATACCAACAAAATATGTCTATTTCATGTGCATGTATATTTACCAAAGAGATAAGCTCATTAATTTTATTTATAATAATTTAAATAGCATTATTATATGCCAGACACTGTTTTAAATACCTTGCAAACACTAATTTAACTCTCATAATAACCTGAGAGGAAAGCACTTTTATTATCTTTATTTTGCAGATGAGGAAACATGCCTGGCAAGTAATTTGCCTGTGTCATAGTTAGTGGATGGCAGAGCTGATATTCAAATCCAAACAACCTCCAGGGTCTGTGCTTTTAAGTACTACCCTCACCTGCCCTTTTGTTGGTGCATCTAATCATTGCACCAGGCAGCTTCTTTACCTAGTATAGGTAATAAATGTTTTCCTGGATTTTTACCTGTTTTTATCATTAATGCTTTAAGACTGGGTAATAATACATAATTTTTTTAAACAATTTGTATATGTTGGCCATTTCAGTCATTTCTGAATTTCTGCAATTAGAAATAGTATTGTTTTAATTACTAATGTCTATAACTATGAGCTTTTCAGGTAAATTTTTAGGAGTGGTGTTACTTAAAGGACATAAATTATAGTTTTTGTATTGCCTTTCCATAAGTTTAATAAAAAAAAGTTATTTTTTTTATTAAGTGAGCTTTTTTTTTTAATTTGTGATTTCAATAGGATTGAAACTAAAATTTAAGGAAATTATTAAGACTTGAGAACTCTGCAATAAGGAGCTCTATGAAGAATTTGAGTTGAGTTTTACTTTGGTGTAGTAAAAGGGTAGTTAAAAGTTAATAGGGTTATAAGAAGTACAGTGACATGTAGAAATAGAGCTGGAAGAGAATTTTAGCAGTAACATTTAACTTGGCTGGCTGTACATTCATTACTGATCATCTCATGTTCTGGATTACTCATTTGTGCATGGATGTGGTTCGGCTGGGCTGGCCTGCGGTTGGGGGGTAGGTTGCCATGGGCTGTTGGCCAGCCTTGTCCCCTGGTCAAACTCTCGAGGGGACAATTTGCATATTAGACTTTTATTTATATAGGGTATAATTGTTCTTTAAAGACAGTGTCCTCTGGAATTAGGTAGTGGTGATGGTTGCACAACCTTATGAATATACTAAAATCATTGAATTGTATGCTTAAAATGGTGAATTTTATGGTATGTCAGTAAAAGACAGACAATTTCTTATTTCTGATGTTAGGACAAGAGAGATGATGCTCTGATTGGCGTGAAGTCCACGGCACTGAGGTTTCGTGAAAACACCAAGCAATGGCTCAGTGGCTTCAGTGTAGCGATGCTGGGGGCATTGAGCCTGGTGGGCGTGAACACTGGTCAGACCGCACCCTATTACACTGCTCTGGCTGCTGTCGCAGCCCATCTGACTCACCAGGTTTGACCACCACCTTATTTTTTCCCCTCATTCTTCCTTGCTATAAATTATAAATATTTTTAAATGAAAATATTTAAATGAAACAACCTCTGTGTTTACCAAGTAAGGTACTTCTTGAACTGGCTTGAATTGCCCCCTCCCCTGCCCCATCTTACCATATAATCTTACCATATAAGAGAGCTATATTATTTTAAATAGGTAATCTAAAACTAAATGTAGATCTTTCCCTCTCTGATTTTTGGGGAATTACTTCTGGAAATTTTCAGCAACGTCTGAAGGTTGTGGGTTGAATTGAATTACTCTGAAAGCAACTGATCAACACAACTTCACTTTAAAATGTGGGCTTCTGGGGATGCTTAGCAAACTGATTATTCATAGGTTTAGATCCCCCTGCAAGGCTGGATAAGTCATGAAATTAGAACATGTCTGAATTCTGCCTAGATAGTAGGAAACTGTCATTTCAGGATACATCCCCAGAACCCTTGTTTGCCCCTACAAGCTGATATTGTGAATCTGTTTTATTGATTTGTGAAAAATGAACTAAAATCTCATTTTAATTAAATAGATTGATGCAAAAATGGCCCCAGATTGGAGAGGGTGTAGGCTGGGTTGAGGGACACCCTCCCCCTCCCCCCTTGTACACATATTTAATGCACCAGGCCTCTATTTATAAATAAATGGGAAGGCTCACTAAAGGCATTTAGTGGATGAGGACCAGGTATATTAAATATCAGCACATTAGACAGCCCTATACAGTAGAGTTGTCCTGCCCAAATGTGACTTGTTCTCCGTTGAGAAACATTTTTCTGAAGAATAAAGCTAGAAATGGAGGGTAGCAGCTATAGGAAGTAGATTTTAGATCAGTCAGTGGAAGAAAGGGTTTTCTAAGTAGAGCTGACAATAGCATGGGTTGCCTCTCAAAACATTCACACACCCATCATGGGGAAGTTTTTAGGATGCAGCTTAGATGATACCCAATGATATGGTAGGTCTGTCTACATTGGGGAACTGTTTAGGGTGCATTAAGGGCTTCCCATTGCTTAAAATTATATAGCAGAGTGCTGATATCTCCGCTAATGATGTGTTAGTGATGCCAACAAGTCCATTCTGTACTAATGAACATTGTGTTCTTTTACAGATTTACACTCTAGACATTCACAGACCCGAGGACTGTTGGGATAAATTTGCCTCCAACCGAACAATAGGACTAATTATTTTTTTAGGGATTGTCCTCGGAAACTTGTGTAAAGAAAAGAAGACGGATGGAACAAAGAAAAATACAGATAGTAGAACAGAAAATTAGCAATTGAAGTTTAGGAATTTTTAAAATCAGACTTTTATAAAACCCTCAGGTCTTGTTACTGCATAATTAGATTTGAATAGGAGTCTTAACACTATATGTTAAAGAATTAAGAATCAGAAGATGAAGGCTTCTAGCATATTTGCCTGTATTTTGGTTCAGCTATTTATCAGCAAAATTCTTCCTCTGTCACAGAAACCTGGGATTCATCAGGATTTGAGATGACCTTGAGTATTTAAGTCGATGCTTGCTTCTGCTCCTTGCAATTCTCATCTGTGGTTATGGGAGTTGTATGAGTTTGGGCACTTTAAATATATTTTTATTGATTTTTTTACAGAGAGGAAGGGGGAGAGATAGAAAGCTAGAAACGTCGATGAGAGAGAAACATCGACCAGCTGTCTCCTGCACACCCCCTACCAGGGATGTGCCCACAACCAATGTACATGCCTTTGACCGGAATCGAACCTGGGACTTTCAGTCCGCAGACCGACACTCTACCACTGAGCCAAACCGGTTTCGGCGAGTTTGGGCACTTTAAAAGAAACCTGACATGTATCTCATCTAAATGTCAGCAAGAAAAATGAACTCGTTTTTTAGGGAAAAAATTAAAACTGCCACAGAAAGTTGGGCCTTATTGTTCTTTATTTTGACCTTTCCTCACTGCCAAAAGCTGGTTAATAGTACTGTTCCTTTACCCCTTCATAATGTTCTCAACATGGCTGCTGAGTGATGTTCTTGCAACCCATGTAAAATGTCTTTTCTCTGTTCAGAACCCTCCAGGATCTTCACTGGACACTCACTACAAACTAAAGTCCTATTCTCTGCTGGGCCTCCATGATCTGGCCTTGTCTGACTACTCTCCTCACTCCTTTTCAGCCTCTCTGGCCTCCTCACTGTCCCTCAACAAGCTGGGCAGACTTCTTCCAAGGACCTTTGCATTTACAGTTCCTTTGACTGCAATGCTCTGCTTGAATTATGTCATTGTCCTTCACTGCAGGGCTCTTCCTAAATATTACCTCCTTGAAGAGGCTTTTCCTAACTTACTTAAGTGGCTCTCATGGAGGATGGGGCATGTGGGGAGCCAGTCATTTGTGTTATGATAGTTGTGGGCAGCAATAAAGGCTGAATTGCATGATGATGATGATGCAGCTGACAGAGCACTCATCAGGCACTGATGAATGGGCAGAGGGAAAGGCAGTGACTGTTTGTTCAGCAAACACAGTGGCTAGCCTGCAATGGGAAGGCTTTAATGCCTCCCAAACGACCCCTCATTGCAGACAGATCTACCATGTCACTGAGTGTCATCTAAGCTGCGTCCTAAAAACTTCCCCGTGACGGGGCAACTGTAATAATACTCAGCTATAGCAGCAATGCAGTGAAGAGGAGAAACAGAAACATACCTTACCTTTGGGGAAATATGGTAGGTTTCTATTTTACCTCATTCTGACACTGCATCAGAATAAATAAAATTTAAATCTATGTTTTCTGTTATCCTACACACACACACACACACACATATATATATATATATATATATATAGAGAGAGAGAGAGAGAGAGAGAGAGAGAATTTATTTGCAAAAATTACACAGTCTTTCTAGAAAATATAGTAAAGAATAAAATATAGAGCTTAGCCTGGCCATTGTGGCTCAGTTGGTTATCCCGTACACTGAAAGGTGGTGGATTTGATTCCTGGTCTGGGCACATAACCCAGGTTTTGAGTTTGAGTTTGAACCCTAGTGAGCATGTACAGGAACAGCCAATTGATGTTTCACTCTCCCTCTAAAAAAATCATTTTTTAAAAAAATACACAGTTTAAGCAGAAGGGATATCTTTAACAAAAGAAGTGAAAATAGAAAAGGGCTATCCCTCTTTATACCATCTCTCATAGTACAAAAATTTTGATCTCTAAATGCTATTTTCCAATCTGAGGACTGGGTACAGAATTTACCAAAAATCTATGTAATCTTCAGGTTGGCTACATAATTTTCAAATCATCCTATATTGTAAAATGTTAACTTACTAGCACTGATTCCAATTAAAGGAGGTAAAATGCAATATGTTTCCCTTTTTTTTTCTTTTCTTTCATTTTCCTAAGCAAGTGGACGGAAGTTAATATGGAACAAACATTAGAACTGATAAAACTCCCACAGCCATTTGTGATAAATGGGAACAAGGAGAATATAGTTAAACATCCATAGAATTGCTTACTGTCAAAAGCTGCTTAAATTTTGTTGAATTATTTTAGTTCTTTGTAACTTCTCCTCCTGGGTAGAAAGGCTGAAAAAGTGAAGTGGGTAAGGAGCAGGTGGCAGGGGGAGTGGAGAGAGGGGAGACGAAGTACATTATTAGCCTCGAAAGTCACAGAGATGAAACAATTCAGGGCTGCAAAGAAGTGCAGCCATCATCAATCTAGTATCAGGTTGTGGCCGCACAGTCGTAGGGGGAAGGGAGATTGTAACTTAAGGAAGGAGGCACCACTCTTCCTTGGGAGATTCACTGAGTGAAGAAGCTCCAGTCCCGTCTGCTGTGGCAGAGTCGCCCTGAGGTGGTGAACTGGACAGTTAGCCAGTGTAGGTTTATGGTGAGGGTAGAGGTAGGGTGGGAGCTGCTGGAGACCAAGATCAACAGTAATATAAGTGTGAGGAGTCTGGCAGAAGGCTGACCCCTGGACTCCTTTTGATATTCATAGGGTGAATATTTACATTTTATTACCTACTGCTGACTCAGTGGCCTAAAGCAAACTCCCCCCAAACCTGATAATCTTACTGCTTATTAAACATTACCATTGATATGTCTGTTTGCCTTCCTCAAAGTCAATTGTGTTTCTAGTAAATAAAAGCAGCTGGGAAAGGAGATTCAGTGGAACTTGACTATTACAGTTAAGTTTTCTCTGGCTTCCCCCCATAATCAAATTAATGTTCGTCTTGTGTGTCAATTTGTGCGTCAGCTCTTTCTCCAAGCCTTTGAACCCAAAAGCCATGCTGGCCATGGCTTTTCACAGGGAGCCACAGAAAACCTATCTGAAAATTGTGACACGTACTGCCTCTCCCTCTATCTGGCTTTCATCTGCCAAACTTGGGCTGTGTTGTGAAGATTAAATGAGACTATCATATTAAATAAAAGCCTGTTATGGGCTGAATTGTATTGCCCCCAAATTCACATAGGAAGCCCTAATCCCCCAGTAACTCAGAATGTAACTACTTGGTGATGAGGTTTTTAAGGAGATTATTACGTTTAGATGTTATTAGAGTGAGCCCTAATCCATTATAATGGTGTCCTTATAAGAGGAAATCTGGACACACAAAGAGACACTACACAGTTGCACACACACACACAGAGAGAGAGGGCGGCGGGCGGGGGGGGGGGGGGGGGGGGGACTGAATGCTCAGGGAGAAGGCCATCTGTAAGCCCAGGAGAGAGGCCACAAGAAACCAACCCTGCCAACACCTTGATCTCAGATTTCCGGCCTCAAGAACTGTGAGGAAATAAGCTTGGGTTGTTTAAGCCACCCAGCCCATGGTGTTTTGTTACAGCAGCCCTCTCAGGCTTAGTAAAATACAAAGAACTAGTATAAACCTGGCACACAAAAGACTACAAATGGAGTTCTCCTAGGAAGTTCTCACTTTCCCACACCCGTTCTACCTTTCTTTCCTAAAGTAACACGAGTCTCATCCCTTACAGCAGGCAGGCTGAACAAAACCCTCCTAAGATGTCCAGGCCCTAGTCCCCAGAACCAGTACCTACATCACATTCTATGGTAAGAGCATTGCAGATGTGATTGAGAAGGATTTGAGGTAGGGACAGGAGTCTGCCTTATCCAGAGTGCAAAGGAATCACAGGGGTCTTTAAAAGAGAGAGGCCAGAAGGTCGAAGTCACTGGGAGATGTGACAATGAAAGAAGGAAGATAGAGTGATACCAGGAAGAGAAGAGATCATGGGCCGAGGAATGCAAGTCTCCTTTAGAAGCTGAGAAAAAGGATGCATTTCCTCTCAGAGCCTCCAAGAGAACTAGTCCTGCTGACACCTTGACTTCAGCCCAGTGAAACTGAACTGGGACTTCTGACCTCCAGAATTTTATGGTCATAAATGTCTTTTTTTTAAGTCACTAAATTTGTGACAAGTAAACTAACACAAAAACTGTTCAGGTTCTGATTGGCCTGCCCCCTGAACTGCCAGAGCGCTTGGCTGGTACCAGCTGAGGCGTTGCAAGTCCTGAAAACAGCTTGTTTGAATCTCTGCTTTACCACCTGTCTCTTGGATGATCTTGGGCCAGTTACCTGGTTCAGTTTCTCAAATGAAGCTAAAAATAGTACCCTTCTCCTGGATTTAAAAACCATGTCTCCAGCTACTAGAATGAAGATTCTATAATAACTGGGACTTCGTCTTATTCACTGAAATAACCCCAATACATCATACTGTAGGTACTCAATAAATATTTTTGATTTATCAGTGAGTTAACATTAAGTATTTTCCAGACTTGGTGTTAAGTTCAATAATCAGGAATTATTAATGTCATTCAACAACATATAAAATTTCACAATGTGAGGTGCCATAATAAAAATATAGATGTTTTTTCATGTACATGTGATTAAAACCATGTAAAAATATGTATTATGAAGACTAAAGAAACAAAAATAGAAAGATAGGTCATGGGTACAAGGTTATTATAACATTGCTTAATAACAAAATGGGCAATGGTTCTAAATTTCATGTTTTAAGCTAATCTGAATATAACCTTTATCTATTCCAGTGTTACTTTTACCTTTTAATATTTACAGTTTAAAGAGACTTCAAGATAACTTTTTGTAGCCCCTATAAAAACAAAGGAAAGATTATTATTATTATTTAATAAGTTCTTTCCAAAATAAAGGAGTGAGTACTAAAGGAAGGCTTGTAGCTGCAGCTTCAGGCTTCCATGTCTTCCTTTAAGTAACAATCCTTGCCCAATCCTTGTCTGAAAAAAAATTACAGTCCTAAGAAAGCAAGCCAGCCCCAACAGAACACTGACATTGAGACATCCCTTTGGCTACCAGGAAGTCACACTATAAAACAGTCATATATCCATCTTCCTTTTAAACCAACAAGTTTCTTAACCAATGTTGTCCAAAAGCTTCTTGTAATGTTAGTTTCTTAACCAATGATGTCCAAAGCCCATCTGTAATGTTGGGCAATGAGTTGCCACACCTTCTCATTATCAGAAATATAAGACCAGGAAGAGTAATGCCACCTTGTTTGTCCTCAGAAATAACTGGAAAAGAGCATGAAATTAAAAGTTGCCCAGTTTTCTTTTCTTCTCTCCTTTAAAAGTAATACTAAATGCATTTTTCTTAATGCAAAAGTGACATATGTACATTGTAGAAAGTCCAGAAATGCAAAACACACACACACACACACACACACACACACACACACACACAGGGGAAAATAAAATTCATTTTAGCATCATTATCCAAAAAGATATGCACTATTAGTGCACTGCTAGTCATCTAGACTTTAAAAAAATATATATTTTATTGATTTTTTACAGAGAGGGAGAGAGAGTTAGAAACATCAGTCAGCTGCCTCCTGCACAACTCTTACTGGGAATCTGCCCACAACCAAGGTACATGCCCTTGACTTGAATCAACCTGGGACCTTTGAGTCCACAGGCCAATGCTCTATCCACCGAGCCAAACCGGTTAGGGTGTCATCTAGACTTTTAATAAGCATATAAACATATCCTCCTATCCAATAAAGGGGTAACATGCAAATTAGCCATCACTCCATCACAAAGATGGTGGTGCCCATAGCCACAAGATGGCGGTGCCTAGGTGCCTCAGCCTCACTGGAGTCCCTTAGTACTGGGAGGGGCTGCCGCTGAGACCAGGCAGCATGAGTGGCCTGGCGGGACACTTGCTTCGTTGCCATGGCGATGCCCCAGCGTCAGAGGGCCTCTCAGGGACAGGGGGCCCAGCCTGCAGCTTCTGCAGCTGAGCGCAGGCCCGGAGAGGAGCAGGCCCACCTCCCACAGAAGCAATTTTACTCCCTTCTGACACCCACATTGACTTCTGCCTCCCGAGAAAGCAGCTTGACTACCATAGAGGCAGCGCGGCTCCCTG